TTAGAAAATTATTATAATAAGTGAATATTATAATATTATATATATATTAATATATACAGTAATATGTAATATAATATTTTAGATTTACATTTTTAAGCTACTATTTTTTAACTAATCATACGTTTAGTGTACAGAACTTTTTTGTTTTGTAAGTTTCTACACAATAATGAATTAATTTATAATTAATGGCTTAATAATAAATTTGTTGTTTATTATAAGCACACACTTATGTTTAGACATCAGTTTTGAATTTAGCAAAAAAATACTCCAAAACTACTTAATGAATATTCAGTAATCTTTTAGCATAAAATATAGAGTACAGTGTATTGATTAAAAAAACTAAAGTTTTTAAATTACTACTACTACTACTGCTAATAAAATTGATCAATAAATATAAAAATTATACACACTTGAAGCGAAATTAAAACCATTTTTTTTATATCACATGTTATCAACTATTTTGTACATAAAATATATTGTCTTTTTTAGTTAAAAAGAGATAATTATCGTTAAGCAAAGTATTTTTTAAAAAATAATGTATAAAAACTTTTTGGCAAATTATTTATCTCCGCCTTTAATTAACAATTGGACCCACATTTCATCGCTAACAATATATATACTTTATACAAGTCTATATAGTTATATAAATTGTACAAAACGTGTTGTGCCGGTGCACTCAAACAACAAAACTTTGTATACAAACAAAAAAAATTATATACCATTTTCTTTGAATCAATTTTTCTCTCTCTATATGAGTGAGACTTTTTTTTAGAAAACAATAAGAAAAAAAATAAATAGTTTTCTCTCATAGATTTTTTTTTATTCATTCAAACCATTATTAAAAACAAATCATTGAAATCAACAATAAAAATAACGAGCCGTTCATTAGGTTTATATGTTATATAACTCACACATACAGTACTGTTGTCTTATAAGTTCTATAACTTATGTTCACTTAAAAAAACTTAATATATTTATATTCTCATTGATATACAGTTTGATAATAGCATAGGATATGTGTTACTTCTCACACCAATTGCTCGTTTAGGTTATATAATAATAATAACAACAACAAAACATAACTAATAAATTTTCCGCTAAGTTTTTTTTCATATAATTTATAATTGCTTTTAATTATTTATTGAATGCCTATATATTGTTTTGGGTTGTATTTGTTAAATACAATTTCCCGCATTCAATACACTAGAAAAAATTCAATGCATTTCCAATTGTGTGTTGAAAAATGAAGTGCACGACTCAAATCAAAATTATATATATATTAATTGCGATCATCAATGAAAACACAAAAAATCTCATTTATTTATTTGAAGTGCTAATACAATGCACACATAAGAATATTATTTTTTTAAATAGCGCCTCCTTTTTAATTTTCAACTCTCGTTAGTGACGGGAGGCTCCGGGACGTGTCAGTCGGTGTTTCTCATCATTACAATTATAAACGACTTGACAGCTCTCTCTCTCTCTCTCTCTCTCTCTCTCTCTCTCTCTCTCTCTCTYTCTCTCTCTCTCTCTCACACACACACACACAACGATCATACAAATGACGATCCGTTTAAAAAATAGATAACAACAAAAAACGATATTTTATTTTCTATAACTATATGAAGAGTTTTTTTTGTGTATATATATATATATATATATATATATATATATACATAATATTTGCAATACTGTTATGACCAGTAAGATAGAGGCGTTGAAGTGTTTGCCTTAACAATTGAGTGCACCGGCGGTTCAGTTCATAATACTGTTTGTTCAGCTAATTTCCCACTAAAAAAATCTTTAGCACTCGATTAGCCTTTTTGACCATTTTTTATGTACCACTTGTCTCTACTTTTTTTCTTTACTTCAAATAAACCCATACACACACACACACACACCATACCAGTGCGATTCGTGAGCACCCGCAGGGCATCACCAACAAGGATCAGCTTGTTATATATAAATTTATACAAACATAGTTATATATATATGAAAATATTTTATAAATGCATTTTCCATATTATATCAATATATTTTGCGCCGTAAACCTTAACGACCCGACTCTATCAGATCCCTCCTATAACTCCCGCACCACAATAGAGAAGCTTTTAAAATAGTGGAGAGAAACAAATTACAACCCAATTGTGGATCAGATAAGTTGCGAATACCGTGTTAAATGGCTTAACGCCCTCTAATACATAACGAGAGGGCTCTTTTAGCTCATCATAACTGATAGGGCGAACTGGTCTCTCATCTCAAGAGTTAATATACAGTGTGTATACAGTATTATATAAGGAAAGGTATATTGGGATATACAGCACTTAACATTGAAATCTATGGTTTATACTGTCAGGAAAATCACATCTCTTTAGTGAGAAAAAAGATACCGATGCTCTCTGCAAAAAAAATTATTAATATATACTGTAATAGCCATATGAGTATTGAAGAAATGGGAGATTGAGATAAGGCATTGGTAGGGCCGACATTATCACCGCAAGAGTTTGAGAACCCTAACCATACCATTACTAGAGTACATCCCTATCAATCATAATCCACTTTCAACGACTCGTTTTTTAACATTTATATATTTTTATATAATATATACTTTATATCTAATAAATACTTACAGATCATATACAAACATATTTTTAAGGAAAATTGTATGTTATATTTAAATTAATATCAATGATGTATTGTTAATAATGCGCTAACAACCATATGATGCTTTACACTACAGTTCCTCATTGGCCATTCATGGTGCCGGTGCAATACCTGTTTACTTGATAATTGGGCACATGTTTAAATTGATTTGCCAGATACCTGTGCTAAGTATATGCAGGCCCTATAATACGTTAAATAGCAACAACAAAAAATTTCAGCAAATAATAAATGATTAATAAAATTGTGTTTATTATATAATATATTGCTTTTGCAGTATATTTACAGTATAAACAGTATATATTTTCATTCACTATATTAGCATTTTTATTAATTTTTGTTCCTGTTTTTCGGCACCACTTTAAACATAACAATGTGTTTATATTAATGAAAATACATAACAAATTGTTAGCTATTTTTGTTTATTACTACAAATACATACATACTTTCAGCAAAACTTCAAGAGTCCAAAAACAATCCCTGAAAAATATTTCAATTTCTGTATATTTAGTGCCTGTATATCCCATATATGATGTATTGAGTGTATAAAAAAATATTTGTTATACTTTTTTTTCAAGAGTATTAATCTTCACTGGAAAAAAACTAAATAAAAATTTTTAATGCATATAATTATTGCTTATATTAATAACAATAAAATTATTTTTTCATTATTTAATCTTTTATATATACTGTATATTTATAATGCTAAATAATAGTAAAATTTTTATTTGAAAATATAATATAATAGTCTATTATTTAATACAGTCGGCTATTATTTATGATATTATATTTTTTGTTTGTCTGATAATTACTTTTCTCTTTCATCGCTATTATATAAGATATCATATAAGACAAACACATACATACATACACCACATCATAATGTATAACAGCATAGAGGGAACCGGGAGACAAGTTTAGGGCACTAATTATATTTGATTTAATAATTTGATTGATTGACAGACAAACTGTTTGTAATCAATCTTAATGTGATAAACGCTTACTTTATGCGACTCTTAATATATTTATATAAACTTTTTAAAATATTTATTATATTGTATATAATTGTGGTATCAGGGATTTTATTATGAAATATATTGTATAATATAATATAATTGACTTTAAATGTATGGCCAATGCCTTAATAAATAGTTGGATGTGAAAGTAAAAGTTGTTATGAAAAATATAAGTAAATAAAAACAAATTAATGCCATAAATATAAAAAGATAAGTGCATTAATGTTATTAATAATTATTATTATTATATTATTATTGTATTGTTTATGTATTATTATCAGTTATTTTTTTTTTAAACTTTCAGTTATGCTATGCTATACTGTTTTTGCTGAACACAACCAAAAATAAAGATATTAATTAAAACAATGAGAAAAATTATAAATTCATTTAAATGACAAAATTATTACGACTATGAATATATATTTAATACAAAACTAAATATATTATTATCATTTTGACACTAAAATCTGTCTTAATTTTCAAGACACATACAAAAAATAAAATCCCCAATTATATGGCCTATCATTGTATAAACAGTATAATTATATTTACTTTTTTTCTCTTCTGTATAATACTTTATATTGTTTTCTTAAGACATTAAAGTAAATATCATATTTAAAATATGAATTATCTATGCGTTTAAAAACTAACAAACAAAACAAAACAACAATAATATCATATAAACTGTGTATAAGAGATTTAATTGAAACAAAAAAAGACATTTTAATATTAATAGGTCTAAAATATTTGACAACAATCCTTATCTTTTATTTTTTTGAAGCACTGGTATCTCTCACTTTGGAAAGTGCTTTAACTAGTGTACTGTAAAGTGGTTTCCTATGGTATTAAAGTTTCCCTCTATGAGTGGTTTACCACAAATACGATTTTTTTATTCATCGATAAATACACTAATTATACTACAGTATAATATCGACTAAAATTAAGTACAGTATAGCAAAAAAAAAACTTTTTTCCTCTTATCTATCAGCATAGCATTGAACTCAATATGATATATAAAATTGATTGATAACTGAGCTTGTTCAATTGGTCTATTATATTTTTAGTTAGTTTACTTAACTTATCACATGTTAGTTCAATACGTATTGTATATTAAAAATATAATATATTAATATGATATAAATTATATATTTATATATTCGCAATCATATAGTTAGCCATTAAACCAAAACTATGGCGCAAACAACTGATGAACAATCGATGGGCGATCCCTATGTATTGTATGGCCACCAGAGCCCAGATATTTATTTTCCGATTAAAAATAGCCAAAGAATCCGATATAACTGTTTTCATGTGAGTGAAGACCTCTTGGCATTTGGCAGTTCCAGTGGCGGAGTATATCTATTCAAAAAATGTCAAACAGGTTATGAGTACTTATTTACTATACTTAACAGTGATAATTGTGGACCAGTTAGCTGTGTAGCTTTCGCAGCCAATGATGACCACTTGATAGCCATAGCTACTACTCGCGGACATCTAATGGTGGCTGAGATTGATCCGGATAAACAAGTGGTATATAAGAGCAGTTGGAATATCATCTACCAGTGCAACACATTTACCAAACATGCCATCAATATTCTTAAATGGGATTCATATTATGACTATCGGCTTTACATATGCGATGAAAATGGACAGACATTTGTGTTGCATAACGTGCGTGATATGAAAAATTTGATGGTTATGCCACAGCCATATGTCATCTTAAAACTAATGGCTAAAATCTATCAATTGGAAGTGTTTGGAGACTTATTACTGTTATCGACTCAATACAAGTGTGTCCTATATGATACCTGTGCCGGTGAACTGACCCAAATCGGCAAACGCACCATTAAGTCAGATACCAGGTATGGAGTGTGCTTTTTTGCCAAATACCTGATCGCCAGTAGGGATAGCCTTATTTATAACTGTATTTACTGTTCACGACCCAAATCACGGCTCTGGGAATGCGATCTCAAAGGAAACGTCAAATTTACTCACATTTTTAAAGATTTACTCATCAATCAAGTGTCCCAACAGATAGTTAATGGTGAAGACATTTGTCTTGCGAGAAGTGATGGTATTGGATGTAATGTTGAAAAAGATAGCAAAGAAAACAGGGATACCACTGATGGCACGCGTCCGGCACCGACTCAAATGCCAACATTTGAGAAACTGTGTGCCATAACTGTTGACTGCGAGGACATGAATCTTATGGTAACCTATAATAACGGTCCCAAAGTGTGTCTATATATCATAAATCCCATCAATGCCTCTATTGTCAGCTATTGTGTATTAAACGTGTCTTACATTCACGATATGTATTGCTTGAATAGCGACATATATCTGCTATTTGATCATCAAAAAGGAGACAAAAGGCCAAAGATGGCGAAGATCTCGTTTCTAACTCTTGAACAATGTCTTCAAGTATTTGTCGAGAACAATGAGTTTACAAAAGGTGCCGACTTTCTGGTAAAACATTTACAGTATTTCAATGAAACCTATTGTCAATCAACAAAAATCAATAAAACTAAAAGTTATTTAACATTCAATAAACTCGTTCAACACCTTTGGTCTAATTTAAAGGGCATTAAAATGCACGAAAAATATCAAATAATACAACATCTTATCTCGGATACCAATAATGACGATAATAATGATGATAACCAACCAATTGATGAAAGCCGTGAAGTGCTTCTTAGTTCGTCATCAACTGAATCGATGACTTCCGATACCTATTCTAATAAAGTCTATACTAATGGTATGTATTTAACGAATAAGTTGGGTCTGGGATTGGGTTGTGATTATGACTATCCAGGAATTGATGTAATGGATATCGGGTTTACTGAACTGAAAAAACTTAAAAACATTGTTTTATCAAAGTTTAACAATAATACTAACCAATTGTCGATTACTGACATCAATAATTTGGAGCCACCGCTACTTTCATCAGATATCAGACAAAAACAACACCAAAAGCTGATAACAATTGCATCAACAACTCAAACAACAATACAACCGATTCAGGAAAATAATAGCCAACAAAACAATAACGAAATCAATTGTTTTCTAAATGAATCCGAGATGAATAAATCAGATGATGATAACAGCAAACAAAACTATTTAATAATATGTATGGAAAATATGGAAAAGGATTTAGAAAACAGCGGTGCCCTAAAAAACTATAGGTGCGAATGTAGTGCACCACTTCCTGGCTCTCATCATAATCCGTGTGAATTACAACAACAGATCCATGAATTTCTTATGGATAACAAAGAATTGTTAGAGTATTCGGTGTTTGATTTGCTGGACATCAGTAAACGTACGGCCATTTGGTCATTACATATGAACCTAATGCTCGGTAGCGGCGAATACGAGAAATACTTAAAATACTGTCTTATGTTGAATGATATGAAACTGTTGGACAATATTCAGAACTACTTATTTTCCACTGAAAAGTTTGACCAACTTTTGAAACTTTTTGTGAACCAACGAGACTTCGGCGACGATTGTATTGTAAGATGTCTTGAATGCGGTGAAAATGTAATCAAAAATAACGACAATATTATTACCGATAATAGTATTAAATGGGAAACAATTATGACATATTGTGTTAGGACTATTGGCGCCGACGAAGCCATCACTTTGTTGAAGAACTTTATCGACAGAAACCCTTTTTTTTCCATTGATTTCTATTTGTTATTATTAAGACTTAGAATGATATCTGTATACCAATCGCCGGTCACTCGGGAAAAGCTAAACAAACTGATGGCTCATTTGAACACAACAATGCCCGACACACTAAAGTCACCGACGGTTACCAGATATCCATCGGCTAGCAGTTTAACCGCCGGTATTTCAACCACTAGTTTACCGTCGAACCAGTGGTCAAATGGTTTTAAAATAATTCTTAGCGAAGAAATTTGCAGTAAATGTCGAAAAAGTTTTGTTAGAAATGATAAATTAAAATCAAATGAAAACAAATCAAATGAAAAGTTAGTGGTATTTAGTTGTAAGCATATCTATCATAAAAAGTGTCTTAAATTGCAAAACACTTGCATTTTATGTGATAAACATATTAAATAACAATTTTTTACAAAAATATAAATATATTTATATTAATTATTGGAAAAAATTATATTTATTTCAATTATTACATTACAAAATACAAAAATTAGTTGTAAATTACAAAAAATAACACACTGTTTTGTATATCAAACTAATCTATAAGTACTGTACCGTACGGTAAATGTATTTTATGTTTCTAACTTTACGGTAAGTCAAATATTTTTTTTTAATTATAATTATTAAATTTAAAGTACTTAGATATACTATATTTATTGAAATGTGTGTCTAATAGCAATTAAAAGAAACATCTTTTTTCGGTTCAATAACATCATACGATAATCAGTAGTTAATCCGTAGATAGGAATGGTGTGGACAATGGTATACAAACAAATGCCAGAAAATTTTAAGACACTGAAGATATGGAAGAATAACAATTAATACCAACTTTTTTGGGGATAATGACTTCAAGTCATTGCTATTATATATCATAAATCAAAACTACAGTATAAATACAGTATTGATTTCATATAACAAGACACTGGACTAAGTCTATACCAAAGTCTCTATTGAGTATTATTATTATTATATCACTGAACACATTAAACAATCATTTCATAGACTCAATGGTTTTAGTTTTTAAAACTCTTTATATTATTATTATTATAATTAAATAAAAAAACGTATTTTTAAGTCATAATTACAAAAATCTTTTAAGTAAAGAGATGATCATTATATCAATTAAAATGAAATAATCAAATCATATAATGGTATAAAACATTTTGTTTTTTAAAATGTCATAAAAATAGTCGTTGATTATAATGTTTTAATTACAGATAATGTATTTTTTAAATATTATTAGTTTAACTTGAACTGTCCCCCAGCGAATGCACCCGCCGTATAAACAATAGACTGTCCGTCTTCGGTGGTCAGTATTGACGCATTGTTTAATGATTGTGTACCAAACGATTCGTTGCTCATCTCATCGACGTTTCCCGATTCGGACAATTGTTGGCCACCTTTTTCGCCTTTCATAGCCTTACAAAACAAAATAAGCGCAAAAACACAAATAAAATATCAATAATAATATCAATCAATATCATACTTCTCGGTATTTTTGAAGATACAGTTTAAGTGGATCGACATAATTATCGAAACCGAGTGTCGACATCGCAAACAGTATGTCTTCGCCATTAATGGTCTTTCGCTTTTCCTGATGACATCGATCGCTGGCCTCCGACGTGATAAACGAGACAAACTCGGAGACGCACTCTTGAACACACTCTTTGGCGTCTTTGGCAATCTTTCCCGATTTGGGAATGGCCTCCTTCATAATCCTGGCCACATTGGCAATCGGTAAGAATCTGTCCTGTTCCCGAAGCGGTTCAACCATATCGCGGTCGCCATTATCCGAGTGTTCATCAGGTGATCCCATACCCATTTGCGAGTCGTCACCATCGGTATTATCGGACGGGTGGACAATGTATTGCTGTGAACTTGTATTAAGAAAAGAGTCGCCAATACTTGACGCTTGACTGCCGCCGGTGGCCGAGTGGTCACTGGTCTCCATCTTTATTAATGACATCCTATTCTGTCTTTCAATTTTGATAGGTCGCGGTCACCAACAACAACAACTATCGGTAGTTCATCACCGATCGGGGGACACGCGATATCAACAAATACAGCTACCGATCGGGTGTCGGGTGATCGTCAATCTGGCCGACAAAACATCGGTTAAAAATGTAAACAAATAACCATTAGTTTGAAAACTTTGTTATTGTTGTTGTGATTAAAAATCATTGAAAAAATAATAACAATAATAAATATAATAATAATTGTATTGAAAACCAAAAACAGTTATTCAATGAAAAAAACATTTGTGTGAACACAACAACAAACTCATTGAGTAAATCATAATATTATATAATATTAAAACACATATGAGTTTAGTGGTCAACAATGTGTATCACGTGATTCAATCAAACAATTGATTCTAATTGAATGTCAACACAAACAATGTGTCCAATCAATTGTCCGAACAAATAGATTGCACTCACCTTTCAAATTGATTCGCTGTATTAACGATGAAATTATTGGTCAATCAATGTATTCAATGGGAAGCTTAGCATTACTTTATAAGCAAAATGTCTGACATCACTGTCAATGTATACCAACATAAACCAGATGTTTGACTCCGCCCATCAATAGCTATGTTAGTGTATGTGTTAGCATACGTTTACTATTAATACTGTAAATATAAAGTATACAAATAGGGTGTAACCGAGTGTTTCATTTACGTTACTAATAAATGTTTTGCACTAACTTAGCCATACATGCATTACGTTTACATTGGAGTTGTGTATCGAAAAAATTGTTGTAAATTTATAGAAACAAAAAAATTATAATTAAAATGAACATGATAAACTTTCTAATTTTTGGTTTCTAATTTAATCAATTTATTAATTATAATTTTTTTCAATTTAATTATCTAAATTAGAAAATTTAGTTAATTTTATTTTAATAGAAATTTTCCAGAAAAGTTTATTATATCACTAGATGTCACTTAATTATTATTATAATTGTAATATCAAAAATTGTTTACACATAAATATATTTGTAAATTGTACATGCACATAACAATAAATATTCAATTAAAAATCTAAACTTGATAGTTTAAAGACAGATTAAAAACAATAATCTATTAGATTTTAATAAATTAATTTATAAAAATTTCCGGCAAAATGTTAATCGTAATCAAGAAAATTCCCGGAAATGAATCTACAATTGAGGTAATGATAAGTAAATTTATTTAATGACTTATTTTCTTTTGATTGACACAATAATTGTAACATTTTTTTAAAAATATATATTTGATTCGTTGATATCTTGAGGTTGCGGACAACTCGACGGTCATCGATGTCAAGCAAGTGGTGGCCAAACAACTTGATGTACCCATTGGTCACCAAAAACTGGTTTTCAAAGGAAAAACATTATCAGGTCTTAACTCTTACTCTTCTTCTTTTTCAGCCATCAATCGTTAATATAATCAATAATTTTGTTGTTTTGCAGACAATGTGCCACTAAAAGAGTATGACATCAGCGAAGGCGTCAAAATTCATTTGTTTGTCACTGAATCCAATCAGTCATCGGCTGATGACTCACAGCTATCGTCATCTACAACAACAGCGAAGAGTTTATTTTGGGATCAATTGACGCAAGCATTGCAAAAGTATTATACAAAGTCGGACACCGTTAAGATTGTCGACGAGTTTCGTCGTCAGCTTCAGTCAGAAGTAAATCAGATGAGTCTCGACGACATCGAAAGGTTGGCTAAACATAAGTTAGTCCAACAAAGACAACAATCTTAAGACTGTGAAGACTGTGATTGACTATTGCATTGATTTATAGTTTTAATTAATTTTATTAATAGTTATTATAATACATTTGATTTACATATCGCATATTGTAATTTATTTTTGTAATATTTTTATTACTATTATAAAATGATATTAATTTTTAATTTATAAGTTATAATAAATTACCAGAAAAGTTGTTTTTAAAAAAAAATTAAATCACTAAACTCTAATTAATTAATACAATTAGCAATTATCATAAATTAATTTTTTTTAATATCGTATGTATTTGTATTTTCTATTTATACTACTCATACATTAAACATTTTTATTGTAAATATTTAGGAAATAATTTAAATAACCCCCAGTTTATACAATAAACAATTTTTTTATAGTATGTGTGAAAACAATTTATGTAAAAATTACCCGGTAATTTTTTTATAATGAAATAAATTTTAATACTAAATTTATGTTAAATTTCATAACTAAAATAAAAAAAATATTTAGTATTACCGGTACATGTTTTATCACATATGTTTTAGAAGCAAATAAATACCGTTAAATGGATATAACTTGTATTACAAATTTACTGTATTATGAGCTCATGTATTAATATTTACATTTCTAAACATTATGATAACTACCATAGATATAAATTTGTGATAAAATACACACATTTTTTTGAAAAAATAAAATTAAAACACGTGTACTATTTTCTATAGAGAATAATCAAGAATATCTATTCTAAATAAAATAAAAAAATAACTATTTTATTAACACAAATATTTACAAATTATAATATAAATTATTATTTAATGCAACAAAAAAAAACATTTACAGGTAATTTTTTAAAAAATTTTATTTAAACAAAAAAAACTTTAATCTATGGACACAAACTTTCTAAATTTTCATATTAATATAAATACATTATTATAAATTCAATGCTTAGTCATTGATAATCTATTATTAATCAAATAAATCATAAATTAAATGACAAACAATTTTAATAAACAAAACACAACTAACTATAGATTGAATAATTTTATTAGTTTGTAATTTTATTTTACTTTTTAAATCAGTTATCTAGGCCAATTTAATCAAACCAATAMATGTACAGTATATGATCAAGTTTTTAGAGGCTGCCAGGAGTGCCACACAGCACTGTAAAGTAGGCACTCGAGTTGGCTGAGCAAAACACGACTGACCCCTAACGCTAACGTATGAGATATAATGTATTGAATTGAGTTTTTTTGGGAGACGTGGAGAAAATCAATGCCTATTATAATGCAATACAAAACACATATACAGATAGAGTGAGTCTATGTTTTGTATGTATATATCTCTAACACACTCTCTATTTAGTGGTGATGTCAACGATATTGTGAACAACACGTTAGCTATTAAAGTCATTTAAGTCGACAAAACTAATTGTGTTAAGAGAGACATCACTTGCAACTGACTGGACATCACTCTAACACAAAGTGATCACCAGTTCATCTAAATTGGAGACAATATCTTTGTCATCGCAGATATTGTCTAAAACCAACCGATCGTAAGTGCTTTTGTCGGCACACAATCAGATCAGTTGATTAACTTAAGAGAAACAAATGGCGAGTAAGTATTGCAAGACTTTGTGTCCAAAACACACAATTGTTGCGATCGGTTATTACCGGTCATAGACATACACAAACACATACTACTTAGTAATCATCACCAACTGATCCATTTTTTCTGTTTACTTGTTTATTAGTTAAATTTTTAGAAATAATTAAACCGTTTTGCGGTATTTTGCCCGAAGTGGCAAAACCCGAACGAAAGATCCAGTTTCGGGAAAAAGTCTTGTGGACGGCTATTACACTCTTTATATTTTTAGTTTGCTGTCAAGTGAGTGACCAAAGATATAATGAAAATTGAGATTAATTTTGTTTGAATCATATATTGATAAACACTTTTGTTGTGTCCACTAAAAAACAGATCCCTCTGTTCGGTATAATGTCCTCCGATTCGGCCGATCCTTTCTATTGGATGCGAGTTATTCTGGCCTCCAATAGAGGAACACTCATGGAGTTGGGTATATCACCCATTGTGACGTCGGGTCTTATTATGCAGCTGTTGGCCGGCGCTAAGATTATTGAAGTCGGCGACACACCGAAGGACAGGGCACTCTTCAACGGCGCACAAAAGTGTCAGTAATCCGATTGTTTAAATAATGTTTTGTTTTTTTGCTCAAATACTAAACACCGATTTAAATATTATTTTTCCAATAGTATTCGGTATGGTTATCACCGTCGGTCAGGCCATTGTTTATGTAATGACTGGGATGTATGGCGATCCGGCTGATATCGGCGCCGGTGTCTGTCTGTTGATTATCATTCAGCTGTTTGTCGCCGGTCTTATCGTACTGTTATTGGACGAACTCTTGCAAAAGGGTTATGGCTTGGGCTCCGGTATTTCATTGTTTATCGCTACCAACATCTGCGAGACTATCGTTTGGAAAGCCTTTAGTCCGGCCACTGTCAACACTGGCAGAGGTACCGAATTCGAAGGCGCCATCATTGCTCTGTTTCATCTGTTGGCCACTCGACAGGACAAGATTCGCGGCTTACGCGAGGCCTTCTATCGACAAAATTTGCCGAACCTAATGAACCTGTTGGCCACAATACTTGTGTTCGCTATAGTTATATACTTTCAAGGCTTTAGAGTGGATCTGCCGATTAAGTCGGCCCGATATCGTGGTCAGTATAGCTCGTATCCGATCAAACTGTTCTACACGTCCAACATTCCAATTATTCTTCAGTCGGCTCTTGTGTCAAATCTTTACGTCATTTCTCAGGTAATAAATCTTTCGTTTACTAAAACAAAGTATAACTCCATATATGATAACAATTAATAATTATACTGTTTTTATATTACTGTAAATTAGATGTTGGCCGTAAAGTTTAGCGGAAACTTTTTGGTCAATTTGCTGGGCGTGTGGGCCGATGTTGGAGGCGGTGGACCGGCCAGAGCCTATCCGATCGGTGGACTCTGTTACTATTTTTCGCCACCAGAAACGTTAGGCCATATTGTTGAAGATCCCGTTCACGCCGTACTCTACATAGTCTTTATGTTGGGTTCCTGTGCTTTCTTCTCCAAGACATGGATTGAAGTCTCGGGTTCGAGTGCTAAGGATGTAAGTCTTTTGATTGAAACTCCTAATTGTTTCACTGACTCTAAAATTATTAATCTATTTCTGGTTTTTAAAATAATCTTCATTTAAAACAAAAAGGTCGCCAAACAATTGAAAGAACAACAGATGGTTATGAGAGGTCACAGAGAAAAATCAATGATCCACGAACTGAACCGTTATATACCGACTGCTGCCGCTTTTGGTGGTCTATGTATCGGTGCTCTCTCTGTATTGGCCGACTTTTTGGGCGCAATCGGTAGTGGTACCGGTATTTTACTGGCCGTTACCATTATTTATCAATACTTCGAGATATTTGTCAAAGAGCAAAGCGAAATGGGCGGTATGAGTACATTATTATCATAGTTATATTTAGTGACCATATTTTGTAATCGGGTCACTGAAGAGATTACCGATTAATTATTATTATAAAAAAATCGTTACGAAAAAATCCAAAAATTTGAAATACAAAATATAATTTTACATAAAAATAACATGTTTTTCATTTCTCATAATTTTAATGGAATTAATAATATTTACGATATAAATATATAATATTGAAATTAATTTAAAAATATTTTTTATTAATAATAATGACAAATAAGTTTATATACGTATAATGATAATTATTGACACAAAAAAATATTGAATGCTATGTATTGGAAGTGATTAAGTGATTATTTATATTATTCACTTAATATATTTGGCATTATTTTCGGCCAATACTTTTGCCGATTGTTTTGCATCGAAAAATAGTTCATTAACTTCTTTGATAATTTTGAGGTCAATACTGGGCACCTGATTGACACGGGCCAACTGCATGGCCGGATTCATCAACTGTATCGCATACCTGAGCGTCGAGTTGGTGCCGATCTCAGACAGATAGATGAGCGCATCGTCATCGATGTGAATGCCTTCAGTTTGGGCTCTGATCCGCAAAATCTATTTGTTTTAAAGACATATATAACCAATAATTATTTGTTTTCACTAATATCTGTTTGATTACCTGAAGCATCTCTTGTTGAGTATAAGGAACTGTCTTTACGATCATAAGTCTGTCTAATAGATCAAGTGGTATACCATGCGGTGAATATACATCTTCGGTACCGCGGACTATACATCGGCCGCGATTTGAGGCAAATATGACTATCGGTGCGATATCTGACTCGAGTGCCCGGTGTAAGTAAGTGAAGCATTCGATGTCTAACATATGGACCTCATCGATGAACAACACTCCGGTTACCAGTTCGGCAATTCCCTGATCTATATATTTGTTAACCACTTTGTTGATCTCTTTTCTTAACTTATCGGTGATCTCTGTCTTTCGCGGCTTCAGCAGCTGTCCCATCATCGACAGGATATCTTGTCCTCCTTGTGGTCGAGCGTTGGCTGAATCCAAGTCGTGAAGAGTTACGTCTTGAACCACTTCTTTCTTTTTATGAACATCTCCTTTGGGAAGCGGCACATACTCTTCGGCCTCCAAGTCATACTCAGTTGCATAGGCGTCACAACGTCCTTGTCTTTTAACTGAACCACTATTGGACTCAATATAGATAACATCACCGACTTCTACGCGCTCTTTCTGTAGACTCTCATAAATACTGGGATCAAGTTTTAGTTGTTTAGTGCCTTTCGCTGTCTTCAAACCGATAATAATATGGCTAATAGTCTTGCCGTAACCGCCCAACGGATTCTCAGTCTCTGTGGGCGTCATTTCAGTGACCTCTCCTTCATATACTTCTTTTACTTCTTTAATTCGGAGACCAATAGCGCGCCGAAAGTTTTCCATCAGTACCTCAGTCTTCTTGACTTCGGTAGAGTACACTTCGGAGGCAACCATCGGACAGAAGGGTACTTTAGATCCTAACTCATGTGATATGGCTAACGCTATGGCCGTCTTACCAGTACCGGGCGGGCCAGCAAAAAGTGCCGCTCGACCGGCCATTCGCTTCATTTTGATTAACTCGACAACAATACCGGCAGCCTTTAAAAAATAATATAAACCAATATATCAGTCAATCAAAGAATAGTGTGGACAACAACCCGATACAAGACATACCTCTCTGGCCATCTTCTGTCCGACTAAACCGCACGACAAGTCAGTGGCCAAACCGCTATCGTCGAGACCGAGTCCTTTGACGTGACTGTGCGCTGATATCCGTTGACTTTTGGACACAGTCTTGACTTCTTCGATGTTCATCATATTGTTGTCGTATTACTTGTGGTCACAAACTTCGGCGGTCACTATAATTAGCAGATCTGAAGACAAGTTTTTTATATTAAACACAAAAATGTTTTATATTTTTATAACTAAAGTGTCGCACACTTTATTGTGTGCTTAATATTAATAATGTTAACTGTATTCACTGGTTTGATATTAATTATTGGTACTATTTTATATAGATTTACAACGTTGTATACAATAAGAAATTAGATTATATATAAAAGTAATAATATTTCTGTTATGACAGATATTGTATTTTTCAATGACATATTGAAAGCATGGATTTAATGACAAAAATGATGACAAAAAATGTCAATTAATAACTTGTATTTAAAAATAAAACCAAAACTTTTTTTAATTACAGTAAAAAAATAGTAAATTYATTAAACAAATTATTTAAATTAATTTWTCTGCAAAAATAAATTTATAATAATTTTAATKTTGTATATATTTAAATATATATATMATATATATGTTTCAYTACTAAAAATTAACCATGCTAATATTTTTCCCCTCAAAATAACTGTTAARACGTTTTTAGGATTAGCAATAGATAAGTATTTAAGTTATCAAAAGTAATTGATWAGACATTTAATTGTTTATTAAAATCATACAATACTTAGCATTATTTTTTGTSAATTAATTAATTRATTTTTGTGTATTATTAWTATTATATATATTTTKTTAATTCAAGCAATATTTTGTTGTTATGCACTTATAATTAATATAATTTCCTACACACAGAAGTGTTTGGGAACAAAAAATGATCAAAAAAGTCCCCCTGGAAAAATTGTTGTCAAAAATTTAGTTAAAATTTAAGGAAACATCTAGGAATTTATTGTGACTAAAACTTTTACTAATATTTTAGGTACTTTTTAGGAAATTTTTATCCAAAAGTTTTAGAAAATTTAAACAAAAAGTTAGCTTTAATTTATGAAAATTTTGAGAACTTTTGCTAACATTTTAGGTAAATTTTTTCCAAAAAATTAAGAACATTTAATACAAAAAGTTAACTTTAATTTATGAAATTTTTAGGAATTTTTTTCAAAAAGTTTAGGAATATTTATACCAAACTTTTCATTAGAATTAGGAATTTTTTGTGAATTTTTTTTCTTTAAATATAGGAAAAAATTAAGAAAAAAAATCAATATTAAATGCAAAAGTTTCTATTTTTAAATTTATTTATTTATTTATTATTTTATTATAAATTAGTTTATTTTTTAAATTATTTAATTTATTGACAATTTATAGATAGTCAATAGTTTACGTGTATTTGTAATTACAGTATACTAGACAATTAATAATTAATTAAGTTATTTTAGAACTATCAAAATGAAATATTATATATTTTATATGATTAAATATAATATTTAGTTAAAGTAACTTTATATATTATTAGTTGAAAAATAATTAAACATAATTAATATTAATAAATTTAGATTAAACTATTGTAGAAAATACTATAGTATAAACTAATACTCATTGAAAAAATCCCTTTTACAACACATACGACACAAAAAAGTTAACTTTAGACTACCGTAATGTATGTTAGGGTTAAGTTCTCTAATTTTTGGATAAAATTCCCCAATAATTACCAACTTTTTCATAAAATAATAGCAAAGCTATCAGTGAATAAAAATTCTCTAAAAGTTCCCAAAATTTAGGGAACATTTATTCCCTAAAATATACAGGAACTTTCTGTGTGTATAGACTTAATTTAAATTTTTTAAACATTTTGTTTAAATAAATTATTTACTAAATATATATTTTCCTGGTTTGTATTTTTTAAAATTAAATATTAATATTATAGTWACTTAAAAATAACTTATATTTTTTAATATATGCTATAAATATCACTGAATGAACTGACTCTCACTCTCTGTAAATGTTTTTAAAAGTCAAACACAAAACATATATAAATAAAAACACTACAAATGTTTACAATCATTGATAGAGAGTTTGTATTAAAATATTATTTATTTATTATTTTTATTATACAATGTTTTGTTTTGACAAAAACGCGACAAACAATTGATTGATTGATTGATTAGTCAAACAATAGTTGTTTTGTTTGTTTGTAAACATTAATGCAATAGATTTTAATTAAATTTTATTTATTTTAGTTTTAATAAAACATTAATTTAGTCATTAATTAATTTTTTTAGTCTTAATTTAGTCATCAAAATTGCTAACAAAAAAAACAAATATATTTGTGATATAACTAAATGTTTAGTCAATTATTATTATTTATTATTATCGGATGCCATAAACCGTTAATCTATAAGTGATGGACGACTTCCCGAAACAAAACACTGATCTCGAAGTCAGTTCGGGTCTGTTTTCGGTGACCGAAGTCACTGGAGTTTCATTTCAAGACTTTCTCGACGACCGCAGTATCGACAGCTTGGATCAGCTGGACTTCAGTACCGGAAACATCTCCACACCAAACAATGTACCGCACAATGACTTTGCCGATGGCTATCATATGGATGCCACTAATATTGCCGAACATATGGACAGTTCGGGTATTGAGAATCAATTGACTGCCGGTTGCGGTGACGACAATCACAGTGACGACGATATGGCCGATCACGACATGACTCACGAGTCGACAGACATCGGGTGTGACGTTCCCTTTGAATATGTTATTCACGAACAACTAAATGACAGGTAATTCAATGGATATCTTTGGTTATACTATTGAAACGCTTACTGACTATCATTTGTGTCATCTTCTTCTTCTTCTGACAGCTATATTCATCACACGATATCACAGGACTCGATAACAATGCATATAAATCCAGGCAATAGTCCGATGCCTAAGAATCCGTCACATCTGACTCTAACCATTGAAAGCCGCGATGAGGTGTCGGGTCTCAAACAGATTAAACGATTTCGGTGTACATATGAGGGCTGTCCCCGGACTTACAGTACGGCAGGCAATCTAAAAACACATCAGAAGACACATACTGGCGAATACACGTTTGTCTGCTCTCAGGATGGCTGCGGAAAGGCATTTCTCACGTCATATAGTCTTAAAATTCATGTCAGAGTTCACACAAAAGAGAAACCATTTGGCTGTCCTATTACTGGTTGCGATAAAGCATTTAATACTCTCTACCGATTGAAAGCACATCAAAGACTACACAACGGAAACACATTTAACTGTAAACACTTCGGATGTCTGAAGTTTTTCACCACATTAAGTGATCTTCGGAAGCATACGCGTACTCATACAGGAGAGAAGCCATATCATTGCATTGAGGACGGTTGTGGCAAAGCGTTTGCCGCCAGTCATCATCTAAAGACACATGTGCTCACCCATACCGGTGAACGGCCGTACTCTTGCAGTCAGAATGGATGTCAAAAGGCATTTACAACTCAATACAGTTTGAAAAGTCATTTGAATAGACACGACAAGAAACCCGATGATCATGAGAGCGSCCGTACTGAGGACACCAATAGTGTGGACAACAAGAATTGCGAACCGGAACCACTTATCAGTCATAGTGACACTAATACTATCACAACACACGACAATCATAATAATAAAGAATTGGCAGTTATGAATGATACTGAAGCTGCAGCTCTTCTCACATCGTTATGGGACTCGAAGACATCGCAAAACGACCCGAACTGTAATCAACATAAGCTTATCTCAAGCGGTTTAGTCAACAATATCGCCATTTTTAACCAAAACACTCAAAACATTAATCCAAATTCTAATGCCATTACGGGTATGACTTAAATGTTTAAAAAAGGCAATWRGTTTTAGTTATTAATAATATTATTTTTTTGTTGTTAAATATTTATAGCTTATGCGTTAATTCCMATCACTGGTTTGGAAGTACAGCCCCTCGAAGGAGGCTTTATATTATCCGACATTAATCTACCAGAGGTTGTAAGCATAGCGTCCATTGAATCTTCGACACAAAACCAAACCATCCTATTACCTACCGATCCAAAACTGAACACAATTAGCTCAAACACTGTCAGCACCAACAATGATGTTTCAAAAGCATCGACACCAGCAAACCCATCGGTGTTGACAAACAGCACCGATATTGCAAACAACATAATCTATGCATCGATAGCCGAGGCCAACATATGCAAGTGTGAGCCAGAGATGTGCCAAAAGAATAGCTGCTGTGAAGGCTGTTCCGGCGTTGCAGTGRTCTGTAACACCAGTGCTGGTCTTAGATAGTGTTATTTAATTTTTATTTAAACAAAAAATCTAACCGATCCCTAGTCTTTGAACATTGTATTGATTAYCGTAATTAATAACAATTTAAATGATTTTATAATATATATGTATATTTTATATTATAATTTAGATTATATTTATGTTRAATGYTTTACGGAAATTTTAAGACTATTTACATATAATAAGTGCCTTATAAATGTTAATCATTGTTATACTATATAATTGAAAGCTTTAATTGTTTTTTATCCTAATATTATAATAATTTATAATTCTTGTGATTGATTTGCTGTCCAATTATTTTATAACTTAGTATCGTTAATATATTGCAGTTATATATTATATAAGTTTTATTATATTATTATATGAAAATTATAATTTTAGATATATTTACCAATTTGTTTTTGGTGTTTATTGTTATATACCTAACTTATATTATTAATTAGAGATTATTATTTTATAATTACTATAATTTACAGATGATTTTATCAATGTTAATTTATGAATAAAGACTGTTATTATTGGTAAAATTACTAATAATAGTAAAAAATAATCTTRAATGCAAATTATAAATGTATTTATGAAATTTACGATAACTTGAATAATTGATATTAAATTATATTGAATAAATATAATTACCAAATTAATATGATTTTTTTTTCAATAATCGCAATTTACAAATACTGGTAAACATTTTTTTAAAGATTGACTTTTAGCACATATTATATTGACATATAATGAAATTTTTGATTAATTAAATATAATGATAAACATTTTTAAGTTGTAATATAATATTACAATCTTAAAATAAATGATTAACGTAAATAAAATTATGAAAAATTATAGAAATTTGCAAATATAATTTTTATAGTATTATACCTATTATAACTAAATTTAGCATATAAAAAATTGATTTAAAAATGACAATAACAATAAACATAAGTTTTTCTATAAATTTTACTATTGAATGAAATTAATAGACATACAAAATACAATTTATAATATTTAATAAAKATTTTATCAATATTTTATTATGTATTTAAGTGCAAATACACTTATTTCTAATAATTATCAAATTAATTTATAWTAGCCATTCAAGCAAAACAAATTAATTTTAATTCATATAATKAATCAATAATATAAATTATTTATTTATATAATTTTATTATAGAGTTTATGGGAATTATCACATGTTATTATTATTATTATTATTAGGTAKATTTAATGCAATTTTATAAAATTTATTATAATGTAGAAAATGTAACTTATTTTTAAAAAACATTTATAAAAAAATAATAATAATAAATAATGTATAATTTATAATAAACATTTTCAATACTTATTCAAGTTTATATAAATATTTTTACTGAATGTATGTAAGCAATATAATTTATAGCAAAAATTATTTAATGAAATYATAATGAAATCATGTAAAAACTTCACAAATATTTTGCCAAAATTTGATGACAAATTAAATGATTATTTAAGAGTCGGAATCAGATCATATGATATTGTYTATAAATTTRATGRTAGTATTTGTATTCATGAAAAATATATTTCTATTATTGAAACGCTTTATAAATTTTGGGATAAAAGGTTAWAAATACTGTATAATCAACTATAGTATATAAATTAGTAAATTTATTATTGTGTCTAAATAACATTTAAGTTTATTAATATATAATTATTTTTTAAAATTAATTTTATAGATTAATTTTTATACCAACCAATAAAGTTTACTATCCAAAAATTGATCGATTATTAACTAAATACAAAAATGTAAGAAAAAAATTGTTGTTAAATACTTTATTATTAAAATTAGATATTATATTATTGTATATTAATTTGTATGAAATAATTAGAGTGTCGATATTATSTTGGATACACTTATTGTGACTGAAAATAGGACAACAGTTGTCGACTTTATATTTCCAACGCCAATGTTGAGACAACTTATGATACTCAGTAGTCCGACATACCTGAGCAAACAGGACGGCCTATCGCCTATTGTCGAGATATTTTCTCAATTAGTTTGGTTATTAATATTCATATCATACATATTAATTGCATTAACAATTAAAAACAATATMAAATCTTTATTSATWTCACTGTTTGATACGTTAGCCGTTTTATTGCATCAAAGTATAGAWGAWTATAGTTTTGATATTTTGAAATAATAATAAATCTTCAAATATTTTTTTTAATTAATTTTAATTAACAAATTTATAGATTTGCCCATTAAATGGCATCACAATCGGATTACACTAATTTTGTGGATTATATTTTCATTAATCATTTATAACATATTTATAACTGACTTTTTATCGTCACTTGTTTACAGAAAAGAGATCCGAATCGAAACATTCAAAGACCTAATCAATAGAAACGATATTAAAATTTATGTCAACAGCTATTCAAATGAATTACAGATAATTAATAAGGTATTTGACAATTGRTTTTAATTATATTAAAGTTATATAATTTAGAAATAAATTAATAAATAATAAATTTTATTTAGAAATTTCAAGAATTGGTTCCGCGATTAATACCAATTTTACATAAATATCAGTTYGGTTTGAATCATATAATTGATATCAAAACCAATTCACATGTATTTCTTGCAAATGAATATAAAATCGATGATATTATGGCAATGTATTCACCTCTTGAACTAAATCTTATCAAAACCGGTGACTTATCTTATACTCAGTTATTTAGTTTTGCTGTCAGAAAAAGTTTAGACAAACAAATAAAACAAAAATTACATAAAATGTAATCATTTTTTTGTTGATGTTATTGAAAAACTAAATTTAGAAATTATTTTTAAAAACATTTAGTTTAACAATATTTCTTTATTATAGTATTTTATTAATACATTCAACTGGTATTTTGGATAAGGAAATGTATCGATATAGTCGGCACCAGTATCTCAAACAATGTAATGTCACACAATTAGTCAACACAGTTATGTCAMTCAATAAACACACTAATATGGGATTTTTTGTCAATCAATTAAATGTATTGCGTTTAAAACATTTGCATTTTCTATATACCTATTTGTATAAAACTTGTATAATAATCTCAATWATAATATTAATTATTGAATGTGTATATAATAAATTGRTCAWATTTACTAAATTATATCAAATCATAATATTGTATCTATAATATGTATTAAAATWAAATAAAAATATCTTTTTATCTTATATAATTATTAATAATATTTTATTTAGATAAGTAGATAAWTTWTTTTTGTTGTTTTCATTATTTTTAGTAAATACTTTATTCTATGTAAAAAACATCAAAATAACAATTATTAATATTATTATTACTAATTTAAATATAAATATAACAGTTACAAAATATCAACCATAACAAATTATATTGTCAATTTATTATGTTATCAAATAATAAAAAGTTTTTTTAAAAGTAAAAATATTTATTAGAAAACAAGYAATAATACAATAATTGAAATATTAAGACTATTAAACATATGTTTAGTATCACACCATTTATTATATGATATAATAGTTTTTTTATTTCAAAAGAATTAAATAATTAAATGAATTAAAACCTATAKGAGGTCGTAGAAAAAATTATTAAATTATTAAAGTAGTATATATTGTGACCACTAGATGGCCAACTGTTTCACTCACACATTCAAACCAACTCTTACTCTCATTGGACGACCCTTCAGGCCGTCCACCACTATAAAAGTGGCAGTCATTCACTTCCACTCTCTCTCTTGAATCTCAACTCTCTCTGATCACTTCAATTCAAGCACCACTTCTCTCTGTTTCCTTGACATTCACTTGAATTTGAATCAACCATTTTGACCAAAACTGAAACACAAATCACATTTTTTTTAATCAATTTTTATTTTGTATTTTTTTTAATACAATAAATTGTTTACCGAACATTGGTTGTGTCCACCCAATCATTCATTCATCTCATCCACGGTCACAACTTGGCGCAGTCTTCAAAGATCGAATCAATTCACGACTGGAATCAGACATCAATTCAAATCATTTCAAATCAACTCAAGTGATCACAAGAAAACACGTGTTTCTCAACAACAATGGCCCCCAGAAAAAACAACAGAAAAAATCGCARAAACCAACTCAACGACACTGTGAACACCAATGATGCAGACATGGCGTCGCCAACMGCATTGACTTCCGCTTCCGSTTCACGTGGACTTCARACACGTTCACAACAACAAAGARGCAATGCMAGCGTCAACGCCGTGCAGCACWTGGTCTTCGGAGACGACGAWGAAGAGGACAACCATTCGAATCACAGCAGACCCCGAAACACGGGAAAACTCTGCGACACATTCTCTGGCAGCGATCCGTTGGTCAAAGCCGATGATTGGTTGGCTCTCTTCGCGTTGGTCACAAGTGGGTTTTCAAGCAACGAACGCATCATTGCATTGGGACGCCATGTCACCGGAGAAGCCATGAGATTCTTGGTGCGTGAAATCGCACCACACGTCGACTCAATCACGTGGACAGAAGTCAGAGCCAAGATGATGAACCGGTTCGCCCGAGTCAATCGTCATCCATTGACTGAAGCCATGGAAAGAGAGTTGAAGCCAAACGAGACAATGGAGACATACTTCAACGAAAAGAAGCGTCTTCTGGATTTGGCCGAAATTTCAGACTCGAATCAGGTCGCTATGCTCAACCACGGGATCACRGCAACGATGACACGAACACAGATCGCATCTCAACGYCCAAAGACTCCCGAAGAATGGTTTGCCATCGCGGTATCGATTGAAGAGAGTTTGAAAACAAGAAAAGATCGACCACACAAACCACGRACTCCGRCAGAACCRATCAACCATTTGGACATTGACAAAGACAAGGGACACAAAAAGTTCCCGCCAAAAGATCCAAAACCCCGGAAGTTCGACAACAACAAACCACCACCGGGCCCATGCCCTGTCTGCAAAATGTTGTTCGGCAAAAGTGAGATGCACTGGAAAAGTGCGTGTCCAAAACTGGCCGAAATAACAGGCGCCGGCGGTGCACAAAAAACCTCAACAAGCGGTGCAGCACCTTCTGCTGGCATCCACTACCTTCAACCCATTCAAAGAGTTGAAGATACGATTGACTCAAAAGTGAGTTCAATCACACAGACAACCGAAACATCGAAGACAGTTGGCCTTCACCACATCGCGCATGAAGAGGATCCGCTGGACTTCATTTGGTTCACCACACGTGTCAATGGCAAACAGACGCAAGCCTTCCTGGACTCTGGTTCAACCATCAGTGCGATCTCAAGATTAGCCGCTGAAAGATTGGACTTGCAGTGGGACACAAAGCGTTCGATTGCCATCAGACATGTCGACGGCACCGGCCGAACACTTGGACTCGTGGAAGCAATCGTTGAATTGCAAAACAAGTCGTTTCACTTCGGCATTCAAGTGTTGGAAAACCTGGAGCACGACATGCTCATTGGCCTCGACTTGGCCAAAGCCGCTGCTCTGGAGGTCAATTTCGGCACAATGGTCCGTCACAAAACGTTTGCGCTGCAATCAATTGAACCGCAAACAACACCAACAGCTTCAGCAGAAGCACAGGTACCACTACCTGCTGTAGCGGAACCTCAACCGAAGCCAAAGCCTTCCACTCTCTCACTCGACAAAGTCATCGACAGAACAGATGTCTTCTCTCAATCGGCCACAGATGTTGGTCGTGTCAAAGGATTCGAACACGAAATCCGACTTATTGAAGGAGCCGAACCATTCCACATGCGGCCCTTCAGATTGTCAGCTRCACGTGAAGCTGAACTGAAAGTTCACGTCGACAACCTCCTCAATGCAGGCCTCATTCGAAAAAGTCGATCACCGTTCGCTTCAGCCATGTTTTTGGTTCCCAAGAAGGATGGCGGACATCGTCCGGTAATCGATTACCGAAAGTTGAATTCAATCACAATCGCTGAAAGACATCCACTCCCGATCATCAGGGATCTCATTGACAAAATGTCTGGTTCCCGAATCTTCACCACACTCGACGTTGCCTGGGGATACTGGCACGTGCCACTCGCCCCGAAGAGCATAGAGGCCACAGCCTTCATCACACCGTTTGGACAATTCGAGTTCCTCACACTTCCAATGGGTCTCAAGAATGCGACATCGGTTTTCCAGAGAGTCATCAGACAAATCCTGGATGACTTCCTTGGTCGTGGTGTCGAACAGTTCCTYGACGACCTMATCATTCACACCAAAACATTGGATGAGCACCTGGACTTGTTGCACAAGATCTTCAACACGCTGGCAAACGAAAACATCAGACTTCGAAAAGAGAAATGTGTGTTTGCAGCTTCCGAAGTGACATTTCTTGGACATCGAGTCAGTGGTGGTGAGATCCGTCCATCCGATGACAAAACAAAAGCGTTGAAAGAATTTCCAATCCCGACATCGCTCCGACAAATCCGCTCATTCCTTGGATTGGCAAATTTTTACCGACAATTCATTTCCAACTTCAGCACAATTGCAAAACCTTTGACAGAAAAAACAAAAGGAAATCAAACATTTAGTTGGAATTCAGAAGGTCCCGAACAGACAGCTTTTGATGAACTGAAATCAAAACTCACCACATTTCCAGTGCTTGCCGTTTTCGATCCAAACCTGCCGGTGATCATCACAACCAATGCCAGTCTCATTGGTGCCGGTGCAGTGCTTTCTCAGCCGACAACCGATGGAAAAGACAAGCCAGTGGCCTTTTGGTCCGCCAAATTCAGCGAAACCGAACAGCGGTATGCCGCCAGTGAACGCGAATGTTTAGCCGTCGTCAAAGCGGTTGAGCATTTCAGGGTTTACCTGGACGGTACTCGTTTCACCGTCATCACCGACTGTGTCAGCCTCAAGTGGCTGTTCACATTGCCAAACCCCAACAGTCGACTTTTCAGATGGTCAATGAGACTCAGTGTTTTTGATTTCGAGATCAAACACCGACCCGGCACCTCAAATCATGTGGCCGACGCCTTGAGTCGAAGTCCAATGGTTTGTCATCTTAACACAGATGAGTTGTTCAACAAACAAAATGAAATCCAGACCTATGGTCTGCGGAACTCCCGTGAGGTCAATGGAGTGGCTACAGTCCACTACCGCGGTTTGAAGAGGACAGTTGTTCCTCCATCGATGGTTCCACAACTCTTGAAACGATTCCACGATGAACTCAACCACTCAGGCATTGAAAAGATGATCAAGATGATTGGCAGTCAATTTTGGTGGCCAAAGCGCGATCAAATGATTCGTCAATTTGTGAAGTCATGCCATTCATGTCAAATCAGCAAACCTCCGAACACATCATCCATCAGATCAACTCATCCAATTGAAACACCAAATCAACCAAACAAGATTTGGGCCACTGATGCCATTGTCATGGGCTCCTCTTCTCACAACACAGCCGCCAAAAACATTCTTGTTGTCGTTGATTTGCATTCACGTCATGTTTGGGCAAAAGCCGTCAAACGAATCACTGCTGAGGCCACGGTCTCATTCTTGTGTCAACTGTTTGACGATCTGAATCCACCTGAATGTCTTCTCAGCGACAATGGCACAAATTTCACATCAAATCGATTCAAAAACTTCTTGGAGTCCCGWAAAGTGAAACAKCTKTTGACACCWGCATACCGTTCWCARGCCAACGGCGTCTGCGAAAGAGTCAACGGATCAATCGTCACTGGTTTGAGAACTGCATTGGTTTCTCAACCGACTCTCAGATGGTCTTCACTTCTGCGTTCTGTTGTTCAAGGGATCAACGACTCCATCAGCGACAGCACTGGCTTCACACCGAAATTCTTGCACTTCGGGTTGTCATCAGCCCTTCCAACTGATGTCACACTTGAAGAGGCCAGAAATCAGGCGACATTGAAGTCGAGAAATCTGCAAAACAAAAGGCATGAGAAAAATGAACAAAAGGTCAACAAACAAACATTTCAAATTGGAGACCAAGTTAGGTATCGTTTACCTGAAACACATCCAGAAAGAGTTGGCAAACTTTCTCCGCGATTTTGGGCTCCTTGTCTGGTCAAAGAAAAACTCGGCGATGAAAGTCTTCGATTGGATCACATTGACATCAACACTGGTGTTGTTGTGCATTCATTCACAACACATTCATCAAGAGTGTCGCCATACACTCCCCGCGATGACGACATTTTGATCAACAATCAAACAACTCATTCATCTGTCACCGACTCTGGCAACACACCAACAACACAGACATCACATTCAATCTCATCAACAAAATCAACAGATGTTGATTCACCACAAGTCAATGCCGCACAAGATGTCAATTGTCAAATGCATTCAATTCTTTGGTTGAGAAGTCTTGAATCTGAAAAGAAAAAGCAAACAAATGAGACATCAGTTCAACAAAGAAAAAACATTCAAACACCTGATGAATCAAAACAAACACAAAACGAAAAAGCGATTCATTTTCAAGATGGATGGTCACGTGTGAAACAAGCGCATCATTTGAAAAAAGTTTGGACCACTCAAAGCAACCGAAAAGACGCCAAAGGCTACCGGTCGGCGGATGTGACCACTAGATGGCCAACTGTTTCACTCACACATTCAAACCAACTCTTACTCTCATTGGACGACCCTTCAGGCCGTCCACCACTATAAAAGTGGCAGTCATTCACTTCCACTCTCTCTCTTGAATCTCAACTCTCTCTGATCACTTCAATTCAAGCACCACTTCTCTCTGTTTCCTTGACATTCACTTGAATTTGAATCAACCATTTTGACCAAAACTGAAACACAAATCACATTTTTTTTAATCAATTTTTATTTTGTATTTTTTTTAATTTTTTAAAACAATAAATTGTTTACCGAACATTGGTTGTGTCCACCCAATCATTCATTCATCTCATCCACGGTCACAATATTTATATAAATAATATATATATTTTAAATATATTTGAAATATTATATTTATCTAATACATTATTTTCTATTCAAGTGATAATTTTTAATATTATAAAATATGAATTATTGTTTTAACACTACTACTACTAATAATAATAATAATAATAATAATGTTCTTAAAATAGGCATTGATAATAATTTTGTTAAATATGATGATAATAATTTATTTTGTATCATTAATTCGCAATATTATTGCTATTTTAAAGTAATTGAACATTTATTTAATCACAGGCAAGTTATAACTATACTATAAATGATATAYTGTAATGTAGAAAATTATAATAAACAAGATCAAATATATCAYAATCTTAAAAATTTCYAATTTTAGAMTTAAATTTKTCAAAATTATGTTCAATATAAACCAAAATATACATCGAAATGATACACTAAATGATAAATTACTATTCCTTAAAAATAATGTATGTTTTATAAATWGTTATTTTTATTGTTGCAATAATTTGTTTATAAATTTATTTTATTTTTTAAACAGACAGTTGACATATTATATCATCGGTATTATGTGAATGAGGAACGRTATGCAGTGGTCGACTATCTGTATCCAATAACTTCACTTCAAGCCATTAAAATGTTAACTATTTGTAAACATGAAAARTCAATGAATGGTATAAATATCATATTATCGATATTACCTATCAATATATTGGCTATGATTTTATTTGTCTATTTATTACTTGTTTGGATAAACTTTATAAAATTACAACATCTGATCAATAATTTATTTGACTATTTGGCAGTATTGCTAACAAAATGTAAGTTTATAGTAATTTATTATATTTTTAAAAATATGAGTTTTGATTTCAATTTWTAAAAAATAATTTATATTAATTCATTAATAGTTAAWGTAATKTTRTTGAATTTTTAATTTAGCCATAATTATTAGGAAATATCACTTAAARCTAACGTTAATTGTATGTATGATWTTTTCATTAATTGTTAACAATTTATTTGCGAGCGATTATCAAACAAAAGTCATACAGAAAAATGACTACAAAATTGAAACTTTTAAGCAACTTATTGAAGAGGATATAAAAATTTACATTGATAATTATTATTATCCATTTTTTATTGTTAAAAACGTAAGTAATTTAAATATATAAGTTATTATTATTATTCTGTAGTTAATCTAATATTATTTTTTTAAAAATTTGAATCCATATAATTTAGAAGTTAAAGGAATTGATGCCTCGATTAGATAATATTAATATAAGTTTTGAATTTAGTTTACAATTAATAACAAATATATTGAATGATAATTATGTGTTGATATCAAGTGAAGAAAAGATTGATCTATTAATAGAAATGTAYTCTAATTATAACAAAGATTTGGTAAAAACTGGTGACATTAGTRTTACAGGTATTCAGGGATTTGTTGTACGAAAAACATTATGTAAATCAAAAAAAGATGTATTGACTAAAGTGTAAGTMAATGTTTTAAAAACKATTTTYAATTKAATATAATTTAATAMAATTTTAGTCTAAAAATTATGCACAACACCGGCATATTTGYAACGGAAGACAGACAATATTGGATGAAATTAAGGACAAATAAAACAACAATATCTGAATCTAACCGTAGTTTTGATGACAATATCCATMATAATCRACAAATAAAATTAGTTTTATCGCATTTATATTTTTTATTTAACACACTTTACAAATGGGGAAATATATTTGCTTTGTTTGCAYTGTTAGCCGAATTACTATACAATTATGTTWTTAGTAAATTGTTRGCTAATATCTAAAGAATTGTTKAATTAATTTTTAATGTTAAAAAATATTAAATAAAATAATTAATATAATTTAAATAAATTATTTTATAAATAGTGTTATTKATTTGTCGATRTCTATTAAAAACCAACTCTCAATTWMTATTTACTCATATTAGCAGTAAATTGTTAYATAATRTCTAAAAAATTAGTTAAATTTAGCTTTTATTACTAAAAATAAAATACTTAACTAATTAAATAAATAAATAATTTCTATCAATACATTTATTCTATAAATTGTGGGATAGGTTTGTCGATGTCTACTATAAACCAACGTTTGTCATCCAATTTGTCCAAATGGTCGACATAACGGTCGGAGTGATAACCCATTTGCATYRTATAGTCAGACGGTTTGGTTTCGGGATTGATTTTTTGTACGGCTGGCTCTTCAACCAACACTTTATCTGTTTTGAATTCATCCTTATTATTGATACTCCAAATGAAAAAATCAATACATCGGGAATGACTATAACCCATACCACCCAAAGCTGTYRAATTTCGACACTTTTCTTCTTGATTTAATGTTTCGGAATAGTTTTGTTGATAACCATAGTTCGGGTAAAAGTCAATACAACCCAWCGGTAATAAAGTGCCAAAATAGTAGACATAACCCCAACCATCTGTATGTATCACATCGACAAACTTGGCGTCCGTACGGCGCAATCGTTTATCACTGTTAACATCGTTTTCAAAGACTTCTCCGGCCGGATCTAAACCGGTAATTCTGTCGACTATTGGTTGATCTGAAACCGTTAATTCCATAGCGTGTCGTCCGGCACTTCCAAATAKGTGTGCYCCCAGACTATGGCCCACACAGTAAATGTGTAAATGTTTGAACCGTGTTTTCAGTTCAACAATATATTTTGCGAGCCATTTGCCCACTTCTATGGCATTGGAGGCCGCCTGCGGGTAGAATGAGTTGTACGAAACACCGGCACCGTTACCCCAACCAACTTTCACTATCAGTTGGTCRCACTCTCTAAGTAACTCGTCTTTYAAGTGGTCCAACCATTTGCTTTCATGTGACGCCAGAAAACCGTGTGTTATAAATATRATGCGATCGACTGAAAGATAATTTTCATCCGACAATTCGCSGATTAATTTCCTCTCATCCGTCGGGTAGTTGRCCRACTTTTGGTGAYCATTTTGCCGATAAAATTGCAATATCGGCGCTATTTCATCAATATCTTGTGCAATCGGTAATGTGACAAATATATATCGACACAAACCATCCATTGAATCTATTTCTCCATCATTATCGGCACCGGTAGATATCTTTTGAGCTTTAGYTGCAATTTGATGATCACTTTSAATACTACACTTAGTATTTTCCATTTACACAAATTTTTAAATATATATATATTTCTAATATTTTAATTAGACTTTAAATAAATTAATTGGTTTATAATCAAATAATCAAATTTTAAATTGTGTATTAAAATTATAATTAAGGTAATACTAATTAAAAATATCTTTACAATATTATTGTTTTTAATAATCATATAATAAAATAGCATTTCATTAACTTTATAAACAAAATATCAGTTTATTTTTGCTATTTTAAGATTTTATGACATCGTATAGGTATAAAAATTATCAAAAAAGGATATGAGTTTAAATGTTTGATGTTTTATACAAAAAGTTATAAAACAATTTTGATATTAAAAATAGTTTATATTATTATCAAAAATTTTATTTATACCACAGTATATTAAATTTCCTTTATAACAARAATCAACCAAACTTTTGTAATTATAACGTATATACAATAATATATTAATTTWTGTACCGGTAATCATATTTTTTTAAACCAACCAAAAAATTCAATTAATTATTGTAATATTACATTTATTYTGCCAAATTTATTATACTGTTAATCAACACAATGTACTGTAATTTATGAGTACAGATAATTAAAATAAATTTATATATAAACTATAGATTTTATAAATGCCACTAATTGTAATAATTTATTATTTAACAAATTATAATACAGTTATTTTATCTAAAAATTAATTTATCAAAATAAAACAAAAACACTTACCKTAYTGCAATAAYTTTTACTTTTATGTTAATTRTATTACAGTAATTAATGTTGAAAATTATTTTTAAACACATCATTTATTAATATAATTTATTATTAACAAATTATATTTGTTACCGGTAATACAAAAAACTATGYAATTTAATAGTTATAATAGATATATAAGTAATTATCCATAGATAGTCAAATATCCTACAAAATTTACAACAAATTAACACAGAAATCTTATTAATAAATACTAAACTGGAACCTATTCACAAAAATATGTGTAACCAAATTGTGCTTAAAGTTTTAATATAAATAAGTTATAAAAATTAATTAACTTATACACTAATATAAATTGTGTCAAAAATTATGAAAAACAAAACATTTGTTAAATTATCGATTAAATCTTATAAATAGTTATCAATAAATAGATTAAGTAATGGAAATGTGTGTTCATAATACACAAAAGAGACAAAATTTTGTATCAAATTGTGGTTTAAATACTAATACAATCTGAGTCCRAAAATGAGTTATTTATTGAATAGATTCACTGTCTTATATTTGGCRGTTCGGCTAATAATCAGACCCTCGAGTTCGGGCTCCACCTGTAGCCAAGTGTAATCGTTGGTCGGGACGGCCTCTTCCAGAGGTACCCGAAATATGACTAATATAGTCAAACACAGGCCATCGTGTTGTCGTTCGGGAATTCCATTGTGTTCGACAGTCAATACGCCCACCGGTTTGTGCTCCGGTTGATTGTCTTTGAATATATTCTACAAAATAAATTAATCAGTTATTAAAAACTCTTTTAGATACCATCATCAGTGGTGACATACCTGCATAAATCGTTTGAGAGCCGCGTGAACACTACGTTGTGGACTTATTTCGCACACCGGTATATGTGGTGATGTCTTCTCRGAGACCAATATATGAAGTCGATTACTAACAATACAAATATAAATATAAATTTTATGATAAGAGAAAAAACAATTGTTTAAAAAWTCWTTTATACTTTTCTTTCCTTCTGATGGCACAAACAACTCTCATAAGCATCTGATTATGCGATCGGATGCAAACTAATTGTGATCTGTGCCACACATCCCGATTCTGCTTATATTGTTTGCCGATTTCAATCAAACGCAAACAATCATTAGACCGAAGGCTCAGTGATCCGATATCGGATACCCACTGAGCCTGAAGTGACTCTTTGTCCGCTTGGGCTACACTCTTGAGCTGACCGCCGACAACACGACCGGTAAATGTAAACCTAAACCAAATTCCTGAAGTACACTCAACCATCAACAGTGTTGTCGGTTCAAAATCAAGTCCAGTCTCTTCGGCCACCTCTCGTTTGACTGCTTCGGCAATCTGTTCATTCGGTTCAACTCTACCGGCGGGCAAATACCACTGACCGGCACATTTGCTTTTGGCCTCTTGCATCATAAGTACTTCATTGTGTTCGTTGACCACTACAGCAGCCGCTATATAAGTTACCGTTTCGCCGATGACTGGCGTCACTTCACCAGTCATTGATGTCTCCACTCCTTTGGCCGCTAATTCACATMAAAAAATTACAATTAGTTTCATTGTTAATATCAATAAAAACCAAAAGGTTGTCTTCAAAATCCATGTCTTGTAATTRAAAGACAAAACAATACCTAATTCTTTGAGTTGATGTGTCAACGAATAGTCGCAAATAATTTCATTGTCTGTTTCGTCGTCGTCGACGGTCTGACTCTTCAACAGTCGTTTTATTTGTGTCTCAATTGAGTCCATGTCTTCACATATATCGGAATGTCTTCACAAACTCTAAATGGATCCGATGGGATGTGATGTGATGTCACTTACTGTTGGATAATAAGCAGACAATCAATGAGTTATTGAATAATTCAGTGATGAATGTGCTTAAGCTGTCATCAAATGTGGCGATAATTGCAATATTTGTATTGTTTTTTTTCTYTAATAATAATGACTTTAAAACATTGAAGACATTGAAGTCTAAGTTAATGAAAATGAGAGTCAAATATTTGATACCATTTGATATGTATTACACAGTAGTCTATAGACTATAGACTGTATATAATACTAATGTTTGGACCGGTTTTCCCATACATTCAATGCCATACATCCAGTGATCGATTGTCTCATATACTGTATATTGCATTACATTCACTCATTTATATACATTCAGTAATACATTGCATAACATATATAGGAGTTAACTGTGGGCTTACACTGTGTAAGTGATAAGCCTTTCCCTTAATAGTCATTCAATAGTCAACTCTACAGTAAAAGTTGACAATACATGTGCTGTACATTACATTACATACACAAACTCTAACCCATTAGTCAAATGGGTCGGACATATCATAATTAGTACTAATAAATACATATAATGAATAACACACACACGTGTGTCAGTTTTGTTTGATCCATAAGCCGGTGTCCACTGAATACATGARCCMAACACAYAACACATCCAATTGTTATCACATTTTTTTCATGACTGAAATCCAGTAGCGATTGCGTCACTCATATGTCTTAACATTACGTAAACTGTATTTATATTACAAGTGTTTGTAATGTAAACATATAATGCGTTTTTATTTATTATTATTATTAACCATTTATTTATAACATTTCCTATTAATACAGTGTATATATACAGTACATATAATGTACAAATAATATTGTGTGTATAATACTAAGCTTATGTATGATTTTTTATTTGTATGTATGATAAGAGCATAATTATTATTAAAAAAGTGACCATGAACCAATTTGATAATACATAGAAAACAAACACATCATATGACTTGAWATATATATATAACTTATAAATAATTTCCACTTTATTATTGCAATAATTATTACTGTATTTCCATAACATTTTCCATTTAATTAATAAACATTAAAAACATCCAAAAATCTATATATAAAACTATTTTAGTGTTTTTGTCTCTCGAAAAAAGTTTTGTTGCAAATCATTTAATCACATGATTTTTTTTGGGGGGTAATAATAGCTATTATTCAATACAATAATTGTGTAATTTATTATTATTATTATTATTTTATCGGACAATGATATCAATCACCTGTTACTATGAGATTAAAAGCACATAATTTGATTAAATGATTTGTTTGAAAAAAAATGATAAAAACCTATCGATGATATCATTATTAATATTATTTAACTATCGGGTAATTGTAACATAACATAACTTAACCGATAATATGTTTAATTATTCAAATTACTATATTTTTCTATACATTTGGATATATTGYTTAAGACACGGCGTAAATGCCATCAACAGTGAACAGTCGTTGACTGTTGATCTCAACAATTATCTTAAATGGTTATCACAATTGAATCTAAAACCGAACCAAACTTTTGACGAAGATTTGCGTCAAAAGTTTGCGGACAACAGTTTAGCTGAAAGTGAGCGCCAATTGAGACACTTTTTAAGAGCTGATCCATCGGCAGAGGAGGCGCCCACTCGTCAGTGCCAATATGTTGTGTTTTATTTTAGTCTACTTTTATCCCAATTTGTTGAGTGTCTACTGATTAATGAAAACCCAAACACCATATGCTTGGGTTGTGAACAACAGTTTACCGATCTGTACAACGGCTACAAAGACTTGACCAATACGTCGATCAGTAACTGTTCCCAAACAGTCATCGGTAGTGACAAATTAAATCTGATTGACAATATGTATCACAACGCGATGGCAAAGTGGAAGGATGGCAATTGTGATAGTAATTGATCCTAAAATTTATTATTTTTAATTATGTGAAAAACTATATATAAAAAAATATATTTTTWAAATTTATTAAACTTATTCAATATATAAATTAAAAGGTTGTTTTGCGGGAAAAAACTCGTCCAACCATTTTGTGGTCAATAACGACACACTGTATTACTTGTGTTTAACGACAGACTACATGTCTTGTGTTAATTCAACGCATAATAATTCGTGCAATGATTGCAAACAATCGTTTATTTTGGTCAACGATTACTACGAAAAATTGTCTGATAACTACTCAAACCATATCTGCAACGATATCATCGATACGGTAAACAACAATAAGTTTATGAGAGACCTGTTTATCACTTTAGATGTTATCATCTTTTTTCAGATGAAAGATGTTCGCAAACAATGGAGTGATATTCTTAATTGTCCATCAAATGTACGATTCAATAGTAATCTATTGGTCATTGTTTTAGCAGTATTTGCATTACCAATGGTTCTCTATGTAACGGGAAGACTGTTTTGTGGCGGAACCAAAAAGACAATTATGTTACGTAAGTGATAATTAAATTTATGATAAAATAAATTTTTAATTTAACAAAAAATATATAATACTTTAAAATAAATCGATTGACAATTAATTTTTATTACAATATTGTTTTTTTATAAACAATAGCTAAGAGATTATCGACATATCATCTGAGAAGTACATCAGAAAGTGAACGTCTGGTCCAAAATCAATAGTTACTCTTAAATGTATAACTGATTTTCTGTGATTTGTTATTACCGTAATTATCATTAAATTTTGAAAATATATTATATTACTGTAATATTTAATTTTTAAGTRAAAATAATAAGATATTTAAAACAAATTTATGCCAATTCTTTGCCAGTCGTTAGCAAAGACAATGCTTTTTGCAGATTTGTTATGGCTGTCGGTATGTCCTCATATTGAAGAGCACTTCCTGCAAATTTACAATACTTTTGTGCTTTAACCAAGTCTTCCGATTGCAAATTCATGCCATTAATTGCCGTAAGTGTTGACTCTGACACCTCACTTGACGGTTCTGTTGGAAAAGTGTGTTGGAACCGTTGTGTAGGAACAGGTGCTTGTGGTTGACTAATCTCTGGATATTCCGRTTCATTTGATGGCATATAATTGGTATTATGATTATTACTGGCGGAGGGAATATTTGGTAAATCGAAATCAAATTCTTCGGCATCAGTGCCGGCCACAGGTCCCGGAACTGGTACTTCACCATTCTTCAGGCATCGACTGATATAAATTGCTTTCCATTTCGCATATTTCAGYCTCTTCTGGATATCGTCCGGTATTTCACCGAAAACAGACAATACTTCAAACAGTTGGGATGATATGAGAAACTGACGCGAAGTATTTCTGCAAAGATATTTTCAAAAGTTCTTGTAATTAACAACAACAACGACAACATCTATRGGTGACATACTTATTAGCGCGTCCTTCGCGATCGTCGTTATCCGCTTTGTTAAACAACTTGAGGGCATAGTTCTCGACGTGTGCCTGACCTACCATCTCATTAGTGATGGCCTCGTTCTCATGTCTAGCCTTTTTCTCCTAATAGGTAACAACACATTAAATTCAATTAAGACAAGTCTCCAGTTCAAGTGATATGGTATCCCAATGATGACCAATACATGCCTTTTCGAGCCAATTCATAATATTCGTAAGGAAAGCGATCGCTTCTTTAGATTTGCTATCGATTTTAAGGCCCTGTTGTACACAATAAAAGCGGATCCAATAACCCACTGTTGGATCCAATTTCTCTAAATCCAATGCAATCCTCATAAATGTATTCAACACTTTAAGACTCGCCGGTACTTCAGGAAAGGTACTCATGGTTTGTACCGTTTATTTGATTAACAAATCAATGAATTTTTTTGTTTTGAAAACTATTTCAATTAAATCACTAAAGAAAAAATAATAAGAAAAAAAACATTACAAATGTGTTTTATAAACAATTTTATATATATATGACTATTTAAAATGATTAGATTTGAATACATTATATGTTATCAATTAATATYCTAATTATCTAAAAAATAATTATTTAGTTTAGATTTTTATTACATAATATTAACAAAATGTTTGATTATTATCTCAATAATTAAAATATTGGCGACAACTCAATATATATATATATTATTAATATAATATTATAATTATTTAATTCTATCTATTATTTTGGCTAAAAAATGAAAATTATTTGCATTCTTCGGGCTGTGAGTCCAACCACCAGCTCTCGGGAAACAAATATTTTTGTATTTCGATGCCTTCCTTTGGAACCGGTAGCTTAAGCGACATAAACTGTTCGGTTGGCAAAGGCTTAGCAATCAAACGGGTCGGAAAACAGTGTATGAGATCGCAGTTGTCCGGCGGTACTAATCGATTCTTCCAACCGACCCGTCGATAGTTGCCATTCAACTGTTCAAACAAATAGAGTCTGACTATTGTGGCCATTGTGTTGTCATTGGTAGCCACTCGGTATACGCCGTCGGATGACTGATAGGTCAATATTAGACCGTTTCGTTTGAAGGCTCGTATGAGAAACGCTTCWTCAAAGCGGACAACTTCTTCGTTGAGCAAACAGATATCAACGCTTTGGTGCCATTTCAACGGTCCTTTGGGTCCGAGTGCCCCCAAAGCGAATCGTAACATAAAAAGTAAGTCATGTCTAATGTGTTTAAGATATTCTTGACCACCGTTTGCAATGTGTCATCCATTTTGATCCGCTGTTCGGGAGTTATCTCGCAAATGGTCGGCTCATTGGTCTGCGATGTTCCGCTGGACAACAATGCGACCAAMGAATGTATGATTGCGTACAACACTAACACAATTACTGCTGTCATCAAAACAAACCGCACTTTTCGTCGTATTCTTACCGATGCCATCATCACTGGCCACTCAAACAATGGTTACATAATATCATAGAAGAAGAACTACTGGTCGCCACAGTCGGGAAAAGGCAGCGATAATAATAATAACGGCTATAAACTATAGTTTAGACAAATGGCAACATCGCCGACGGGGGCACCCAATGGGTCTCACCTTTTGGTTTTGCGGGTCTTTTACAACTAATCGCGGGTCCGAACCGTGTGGTCAGTGAATGGGCTATTAATATGACGTATGAATCGATACAATCAATGAGTCATTCATTCAAATCAATTAAAACTGTTGTTTACATCAAAACTATTACTTTAATAATAAAAACAAAACGTTTTGTACGCAAACCTCTCCCCTCTATAAGTATTACAGTAATAATTAACACTAAATTATATTACTGTTACATAAATTATGTCAACATTTTTAGTTACACTTAATATTTTAAATATTTACTGTATTTAGTACTTTATAATACATAGAAATATTTTGATWAMAATTATCATTACATTCCCTTTTAACACATATTTTATGGATACAAACATTSAAAGTGACTCATTGACTAAAATATGCAAAACACATATAACGTTATTTAGGGGAAACTTAATGGTAGTAACCGATCATTAAATTGATTAAAATTTTATACTTAAAAATGYATTGATTTCTACTGGGGTTTACTAATGTGTGTAAAGTAACATATTTTGTGTATACTATATTATATTGTCAATCGTGTGCTTTTTGATTGCTATGTATTAATGTATTAATAAAACCATTGAATAATTTCAAYCAATTTTCACAAATCAATTGACTCTCAAATTAGTAGTTATTTAAGAGATTTACAAAACAATTACTGTTTTTTATATTTTATTTAAATTATCGATCAATTTGTTTGAACATTACTTTATCGGCGATCAAGTGGTCAATTAATCGGTGATTGTATGGGTAAGTGATTTGACTTTTAAAAAGACATTGTTTGACCGCAACACGTGATTTGTATGTAATCGGCGGTCATTTTTTGACCGACAATAAACTGATACAATGTTTGCATTTTAATATTGCAGTGAATCCGGTCAATGACGGTATGACTTCAGCGACCAATCAACTCAAGGAATTACTTCAATTGTCATCATTTGCAGCAATGACTACGAATGCCGGCTCGGGTACTGTCGGTGCGATCGGAGGTGCCGTTTGTCCGCAAGTGAACAGTTTGCTTAACTCCTTTGTCAATGACTTGAATGCCGATAAAGTAAATAATGGCAATCAGTTAGTGACCTCACACGCTGTCAGACATCCACTGCCCAATAACTGCACAATCAAAGTGAACACTTCATCCATCAAGAATTTGTTTGATGTGTTAGCCCTTAAAGTGGCCGAAGAAGGACACGAGTCGACAAACTCTGACTTTACTAAAATTGAACGTTTAGTTGATTTTAATTGGGATTACAGTGCAAATGTCAATTGGATTGCTGTAAGCAATCGTAAACCGTTTATCGCTTATGTGATACACAAAGTGAACAGACAAACGAATATGAAGACAAAACAGTCGAATGTGGCCATCAATGACTCGGCCAACACTCAAATGATTCGCATAATGAACTACGAGTCGCGACAGAGGCTACTCGTAAAAGGCGTTTTCCATCATCCCATCGCTGATCTCTCATTTGCCATCAATTCGGTCTCATCTAACAGTCTGGACGTCAGTAAGTTGGCGGTGGCCGACAAAGGCGGCAATCTTTATATCTATAGTATCAAAGAAGATAACAGTGAACTAACAGCCAATCAAGTGCTTGAAATTGTTAACGACGGCAACACTCATGACTTTGTACGACTGTCGTGGTGTCCATACATTCCTAGCGAAGATGAAGACGTGGAAGTCGAGGGCGATCCTGGACTCACTTTGGCGCTTACGTGTGACGATCGACTCGAGTTGTTTGCCATTGATTTACTGCAGACGCTATATAAGGAGACAATTGTTGTCGAAATGTCAAAACTGCGGGCCTCTAACACTGGTTATCAGCTCATAGAGCGCGCACACGAAGGTCCCATAACATCTACATCTATTGCACAAGAAGTGACTGCTATTTGTACGACAGGTTTAGACAATAAAATTCGTTTTTATTCGGTAACACTAAACCAGAAGTCGAGTTCCGCACAGAAAGGATTTCTAAAGGAATGGAATATTTGTAAAGAATATAAATATTACGAAAGAGATGACCAAATGAGTGCCTTTTTCTTTTTGGATGACTTTGATTATCTTCTCTGTCAACAGGACCCTATATTTTGGGGATACGGTCTTATAGGTACTCGTTGTGGTCACATAGCTATCATCAATCTTAAGGACTGGCATCTAATGCAGACACTTAAACTGACGGCTGAATATGATATCGAGTCAACTGTTTTTGAAGAGTTTACATATAGAATGGATTTAACAGCTCATTATGTGCTGGCTATCAGAGGTCACGACGCCTTCCTATTGCACATCCATTTTCCGTACGACAAGGAAGAGAATTACGAAGATTACGATATCATAAATAATACTAATAGAGAACCATTTGATAATTCGTTTCCATACATCTCCAAAGTAACCCGATTTCAGATATATAACACACCGTTGCGTTCGTTTGCTGTGAAGAAGTCAATTCTTGGCAATCTATTAATATTTTGGATAAATAATAAATCATTAGAAATGTGTTGTATTGACCCGACACTGATTGTTGCCGAAGAAACGTGTCCAGTGATAATGCAAGTCGAGGCTTCGGCTCTAAATAACTCTTCAACTGTTTTCAATAAGAATTTAGATCTAATCGGTGATGTGCCGATGCTTAATGGTTACAATGCTTTCGACGCTTTACCTGCCGAACCAATTGCTGACCAAATCGGTAGTAATGTACTCGAAACACAGATAATGGTAGTTACTTCATCAATAGCAATACCTGTCACACCAAATGTCATTACAGACACAATACCGTCTCTCAATTTGTTGCCAATACCGCCGCAGCCAACCTTTTCCACTCAATCTTTCCCGACGGCACTAATGGCGAGACCAGAGTCGCCCACAAGTAAAGAAGTGGAACATATTCTTAATCCAACGCTGACAATGAATAATGCATTGAATGCTACCATTAGTAATACCGATGCACTGAAATCATTGCTTCACATGAATGCTAATTTAGATCCATTTCATGTAAATCAAAATAACGATCAAATGATGGCCAGGTATCAACCAACACTTGATCCATATACTATACAACCTGTCATACCTAAAGATTTTCTCAACGGTTTGGCCCGAGAGGAACAGTTARAGAAAGTAAAAGCTGATGTCTTCAAAGAGATTCAAGACTCGGAGAACCGTATCGTACAAGTGATTGAACGATTAGACTATAAGATGAGCGCTAAACTGAATGCTAGTAACGATCAGATTCTTAATAACTCGAAAGTACAGACCAGTAAAATAGAGACCGATATTCGAGAAATGAAGAAAGAGTTGAAGACTGCCTGTAAAATACGTAACGAAGAGTTTAACAAAATTGTCGAAAAACTGGTCAATAAAGTTATGCATGAAATGAATGTCATCGTCCARAAAGGCTTTCACGAGCTTATGGATCACGTAAACAAAGAACTCAAGAATACTACCAAAGAGTTTGACAAAAATATACAGACAATGCAAACAAAGGTCATCCAATCGATGGAGAAAGTGTCAGCTAATCAGTTCCGTTCGTTGGCAGCACCTGTCGGTGCAACACCAGTGATGATGACCGGCACTCCTACTTTATCAAACACTCCCGCATTACCTTCAAATCAAACACCTCTCGTTCCTATGACACCAGCTTCAGGTATGCGAACAACGCCGCAACAGTTGTTCAATTCGGCCACACATTCAGTGCCATCGACACCATTGCCATATTCAACACCGAAGAACACAGTAAACACATCGATTAATCGGCAAACACCTGCCGCCGACCCGGTGTATGAGCAACAAAAGGCTGCTCAGAAAAAACGGTTATACAACGAGATAATCCTCAAGATTGGTGCCGGTAATTATGAGGAGGCGCTCACAAAAGCGTTAAATCTAGAAAATCCCGATCTAGTGGTCAATATATGCGAAAGTTTTCGCGATAGACCATCAGTACTGATCAATACCATCAAAAAGGATCAGACGGTTCTCGTATCACTGTTACAACAACTTATTATAAAAAACGGTCCGATTTATAAAGACAATATGAACTGGAAGATTGGATTTATTGAACAAATACTACCAAATCTAGATCTGGARGAGACATTTGTTATGAAATATATGTCAAGTTTGATCCCTAAAATCACTCAAATGCTTGATTTAGTGATGTCATCGGCAAGCGGTCCGGTCGTAGATAAGGCGCGAATACTTTCCTTTACTTTCAATAATTTGCTGCTTTGAAAACACTGTTTTATTTATAAATGAATGAAAAATTTCTGATTGTTTCTAATAATTAATACAATATTTTCCCCCAATWTGTCTATTAGTTTTGAATACACTTATTATGTTATGATTTGTTAATTAAAATTTCACACATATTTAACAGTTGATATTAATACATGATTTTTGTGTATGTAATACATGATGATAATTTGATATATAATKTAATAATTGCTATGAAAATATTATTATTATTTTTTTTGTCTAAAATGTTTTCTATATATTAAAATCTATCATTTATTTATCATGTGTTTATAATTTTGAAGAGCAGTATTTTTATTGACAAAAAGTAATATTACTGTATATTTTGACAATTGATTCAATGATAAGATAACAATAAATACAACACACTATAGTTATTCAATTCTATACAATGTATTCATTTATTATTTTTTTTTGTATTATAATAATGTTATTATAACATAAATATATATATATTACTCTCATTTTTTGGACTTGTTATCAATAAATTTATATATTTTCAATTGTTTTTTTAAAAATCATTTTTTCATTGTCAAAACTTTTGTTATGTAAAAATATACAGTATATATATACACACACAGTATAAATACAATTTATATATATATATATATAATTAAGTATTTATAAATGTCAAATCAACGCATGTATAAATTTAGAAATAATAATAATAATACTTGTTATAATAAATTATAATTGTAAATTAAAATAAATTTTTGTTTATTATTAGCATTTATTTTGTTTGTTTGTAATAAAATTATATGACAAGTGATTTTGTTTTTGATATACAGTTATAACAACTGAGAGGGAGATAACACTTATATGTATTGTATATAAATATTTTTTGGAAAAACTTGTTAATCATAATTCAAACATTGATTTTTATTAAAACTATCGTTTTGTTTTGGTATTTATCATTTTGATGTTGATTTGGCATTAATTCAATTCAACAAATATGTAAAATCACAAACAAATAGATAGGCCATCATATGATTGATTATTATTGAGAGAGAGAGGAAATACCATTTGATGTCAAAAAAGGCTTCTCATAAATAGCTACAGCTATATAGTATATACCGGTAGATAATTGCATATATAATCAAAAGACCGTACAGTAAATGGTATGAAAGAAACAAAAATAAGAAAAAAATTTCTTTAAAAAAAATTCAATAAAAAACTCGTTTCTAATCGTAAATATAATAAAAAATTTTGTCGACAAAATTGTTATACATTTGAGAAGTGCATTGACTTATACATTGACTATAACAACAACATCATCATCACATCAGTCGACTCTCCCATTGATACTAACTATGCTATCACTAGACAAACACACATATTATTGTAATGAAATGTTATGTAATGCAATGTTTTATTTAATTTATATATTATAAACACTTGTTTGCATAACAATACAAATAGCATATATACTATAGTATACTGTATATACCTTTCTCAGTAAAACTATTGATTTGTGCAATTAATTGCTATTTTTAAAAATAATCAACTTTTTTGGAAAAAAATAAATGATAAAAATCAATACAAACTATCCAACGATTACTAAGCAATTGCTTACTTCAGCCAAAGCTCCTACAGTATTATGAGATACCCGTGCGCTGGATATATGTATGTATTGAATGACTGGGGAAAAGGCATGACTTATGCTATTATGTATAGAAAAACTATGATTTACTGACAAACTGTTGTCTGTTATATACACTATGTATATGTGTTAAGCATTGAGGGATAAACACTGTATTAATATTAACAGTGTTTGACTTTTTTTTAAACATACAGTACATTATAAAAGCCATAATAATAATAAACTCATCGCTAATATTGTAATTACAATACATTTTTTGTAAATTACATAATGTTTTCCTACAATTATATAGCATTGTATTCATTCAATGCTAATAATGTATTCAATAATAATAATTAACATCAATATTATGATTATTGACAACAAAAATATCGCCAAATGATTGTAATATTTTTGTTTTGCAGTTAACTCACTATATATACACTGTATATCATAAATGACTATTAGTTTGCATTTACTTATAATCAAAACAACATTTGCTGTGATTATTATTAAATAATATTTACACAAATATTATTACAATTTTATTATGATATTAATTAATATTATTATTAACTAATAATTATTGATTTTTGTTTGTTATTATAGTTTAAAAAACAAATTTTTAATACAAATATTTATTTAAATTTATTTGTTTGTTGTTTACATACAAATTACAATCAAAACAAAACAAATTAACAAAAATTAAATTATTTATTAATATTATTATTATTGAAGCCATTGTTGTTAATACCGCTAAACGGGAAGTGATAATCAATTTTTTTTGATGATCTGATCCATTGATTTTACTGGTTTTGTTGGACCATCGCATTTGTGGTTTCATCGCCGCAATGGACATCAACACTACTGTCCTTCACATGACGGACACCGAACGCCAAATGTTTGGCCATTTGTTTGGCTGTTACGACGCCGACAATACTGGACTGTTGGCCAAATCGGTGGCCAAACATTTGCTACAGGCGTCGCATTTGGACGATAGTGTATTGGATCAGGTATGCGMAGATCATCACTATCTTAGTGTATATGATATTAAATGTGTTGTCCAATGATTTGTCTACCGAAACAGATTCTCGAGTTGAGTACCACATCTGGATCGACATCTCTAACTCGTAACCAGTTTTATTCAATGCTCAAACTGGTCGGCGCCGCACAATCGGGTCTTCCAATAAATGGCGACACATTGATAACTAACACAATGACCATACCGTTGCCTCAACTATCACCGATCAATTGGACTGATCTTAACAAACTGAAACACACGACAACTGCTTCTTTCAATATTAGGTACGAAACACTTGTATTAGTTTATACCACACAAACAGACAGACAGATAGACACACGTATCTGAAACCAATCACCCAATTACTAGCTATTTATGAACTGTCTATTGGAGATAAATGATCGCAATTAGTCTACTTTGAAGATAGTTATCGATAACCAGAAAAAAAGTTTTTTAGTTACAAATATAAGTAGTCTATTATTATTATTATTATTATCATAATTGTTATTATTATATCATATTTTAAGTAATGATACTGTATTTGGTTTTATCTTTTATAACAACCCATTGATAGTGACAGTTGTGTTATGAATCATATCAAATCACTTGACAAAAAAATATGTATTTTAACTCTTATTTTTTTGTTTGTTTGTTGATATAAATTATAAAATATATGTATTTAAAGATAACATACAATTGTATCAGAAAAACACAATAATTGTATTTCTAAGCGATAAATTAATTTTAGTTTTGTTGGCAAAAAAATATTTTCTAACTTTTTATTTGAACTCATTTTCGTTGAATATACTGTATACAGTATTTGTTACTTTTATAAAGTAATTGTTTTAATAATTTGTTTATTTTATTTTAGTTAAAATTTTTAAAACCAAATTTTATATAATGGTATTTGAATACACTTTATTTAGCAGTGATGCCAAATTTATAAGTGAACCGCCGATAACAATACTGAACCAAATGAGCGGATCATTGCCTCCTCCGCCCACTAAATCCACTGTTCGTCCGAATCGACGAAACAATCATCACTGCTCTACGATTGTCGATGACTTACGAGTGGCCAACGATAATGCGGTCAATAATTATCATTCCGTGACAAACAATAGCCATTTAGATTACGATAAAAGTAATTATAAATTATTTTTTATTTTATTACAGATATATTTGAATAAATTTKAATTTTATATTATTGTTATTGTTTAGCTTTAGATGACTCAACAGTATCGCCAAACTCATCGGATAATGAAGATCTGAATGAATCGCCAATTGATTCACAATTAGATAAGTCTTACGATTATCGGGACAAAAGTTGGACAGAATTTAATGACGAAGATAAAGACAAGCTTAAGAATTGGAACGATTTGGATGAATCACAACACCTGTTAGACAATGAAGAGGAAGAAGAAGAAGACGATGTGGAAGACGTAATATCCGYTGARATMAAAACGGAAGAAGAATTGGATGATATTTTTAAAATAACTGATGAACAAAGAGTTTATTACACGAACCAGTTTAAGACATTACAGTTGAACCTAAACGGCGTAATAATGGGTCAAATGGCGAAAGACTTTTTTGAGAAGTCAGGTCTACCGATACTGGAGTTGTCACAGATATGGCAACTGTCAGATGTGGACAAAGACGGAGCGCTGACATTAAACGAGTTTTGTATTGCAATGCATTTAGTAGTTTTAAGACGAAATTTTGTTGAACTCCCCACACAATTGCCTACAACAATGTTGCCTTTAAATATGAATACCGTTACCACCATCGATGGCATCAGTCGTATTACAGGTATCAATAATACAAGCAATAATAATAACAACAATAATAATAATACAATTAATAAATGTATGACCGATGTTGAGCACATATATGATTCAACTACTCCTAAAACTACAGCAGATCTCATCGATAATAGTAATGCAGTAACAATGACCACTACCGTACCTACAAACACACTGTCGCCACAAAATAAAGAGTGGACAAAGTTTACAGATTCGCCGACCCATCACATGATTGCAGTGACCACAGTATCGCCACCCAGTACTTCATCGAGCGCTGGCATTCAGGCATTAGCCAACTTTGATTTTGTTCCGGCTTCCATTTCCAGAGATCCAAAAATTTTACATCCCGTTCCCCGTAGACTAACACCAGACGGCCTACCGATTAACAATAGTGTTGACGCTAACGTTCATACCGATTCCATTAGGTATTGTTGAACTTATATAACCAATTACCAGAATATAATAACATAACTTGTTTTTTWAAATTTCAGAACAACTGTGATTACCGGCAAAAAAGATCCGCCACCRCCACCACCTCCCCGTCCTCGACACTCAGGTCACGCTAGAAGTTCATCGTTGGACTTGAATAAAATTATAACAACCGGTACCATCAGTAGTGGTAATGATCTCAACTTTTCTCACCCAAACACACACTTAAAAATATCTAATTCAGAGTACGCACTGACAGCCGGTCCACCCAAAGGTCTACTTTTTTAAAAAAAAATCTTCATTTTATTAATCAAACAATTTTGTACAATGATTTTAATTTGTTTTGTTTTTTTTTAAATAGTGCTTTCACTACAAGGCCGAAGTGCCGGTGCATTTCACGCCTATAGGAAAACCAAAATCGAAACTAGTCTTACAAATAATGTTAATAATTATAATAATAGTAATAACAATAATAAAAATAGTTTGACGTTTGAAACGTTACGACAAAAATATAAATTACCAAATGAAGTGCCACTACCCGAGTATGTGTTTTTCAAATCAATTTTGTTTACTACAGATAATGGTTTCAATAGTTTTTGTAAATATTTGTTTTTTAATGTAGAAACCCGTTAGACACGAATGAATTGTGGAAAACGATTAGATCATTACAAGAGACCAACAAATTATTAGTCGATATGAACAACGAGTTGTTGGCTGAAGTGATCAGAGTTAGCGATGATAAACATTATCTGGAGTTATATTTAGCGCAACTAAACATTGGATGCAAATTATGAAAACAATTTTCTCATTATAATTGTGTCATCCAATCACTCCCTTAACCTAATAATCTCTTGATATTTGAATTTAGATTTTATTATTATTAGAAAGTAAAGTCTGACTTAAATTTTACAGTAATATTAAGACACTATGTTTTTTGATTTAATTATTATCATGCTAATTTTATATACATTTTAAAATTTTATAAATTACAAAAAACAAAACTGACTTAAAATTAGTGTAAAATTTAATGAGACTTTATAGGTATTATATGATAAATATATATATTTTTATTGTTATCTATTGTTTTCTATTATATATATATTCCTTTAATAATGTATTATTTTAAAAATTAATTATATCATACAAACCAACAAAATACAAACAAATAATGTGAATATTAATGAATAACCACTTGTTTGAAATTTTCAGTCAATTATTATTAATATAAATATTTATTTTATCAGAAAATGATTAATTTTACTGTAATTATTACTGTTAAAAAAACAAAACAAAAAGAGTAAATATATTTATATTTTTAGATTAAAAAATTGTATTATTCAGAKTATGGCCTCTCAAATGTGAAACCTATTTATTGATTTTTATTTAAAATGACAAATCAATAAATTTATTTACAAAACTAGTTTAATAAAGTTTGCTGTAATACCATAATTTTGTTTGATTTTTTAATAATTATTTCATACTTTTATTTCATGAATATTATTAAAGTTATACAATAGTTATTAAAATAGGTAAAAATATTTTTTTTTATTAACGACTTCTCAGTATTTGAAATAAAATAAAAATATTTTATTTTCAAACTATGATTTTTAAACACCAATACATTGGACATACAGTAGAGTATCATTTTTAAGAAATTGAAAAACAAAATCAAACATATTTTATAAAAAGTGTTTTATAGTTAAAATAAACCAGAATTATAACAATAATATTTTTTTATACATTACTGTGTAATATAAATATAGATATTTGATTATTTCAATAATTTTTAGAAACAATAAAGCAATGCAATTAGCTAGGTGAAAATGAAACAATTAGATATAAAGTTATAAATTTTGATCAAATAAAAGTAATGATAACTAAAAAATATTTTTTTAATCAATTTTTGTTTTAAAAATTTCAATGAAAATATGAAATAATTAATAACAAAAATTAATTAATATTTTAGTAAAAATTATATAATCTCGAAAAATCTTAGGGGGTACTGGGTGGGAWGTCGATTTTTATTGCATTTTTAAATGGTAATTTTTTCAAAATTTGAAAATCAAAGGGGGTTATTAGAAAATTCCTTAAAAATTCCCAAAGTTACCTAAAATTTACTAAATTTAACTATTTAAACTAATTTTTATCAAATAACTCAACTCAATTAAGTTTTATATATTAAGATTAAAAATAAATTAACATTATATATTTTTTTAATTTTTAGTTTTTTTTATCTAAAAACATGAATATTTACAGAATAATTTATTTATATTATATTAACTATGTAAAAATAAAATTTTATCAATAACATAATTAACAAATTTTTAAACATAAGTTCATTTTAAAAAATTTAATTTACAAATTTTTATTAAAATAATGTTTTATTTAGATTAATTTTAATTTTTTAACTAAATTAACTTAAATTTAAATTTTAACTATTTTATATAATAATTTGATGTAAATAAGTTAGAAATACAATAATAGTAAGTTAACAAATATTAATTAAAATTTTAATTTTTTTGTGGGGTGTCATTTCTCATCCTTAAAAACGGCAATTTTTTTAATTTCCGAAAAAGACTGGGGAGTAAAATCTCCAAAATCTTGGTCGCTGGGGGGGGGAAGCAGGTCATACCCCTTACCCCAGCGCTTAACCCAGATATGGTATACCTGTATATCATAATTATAATTATAAATACCTTATTCTTCAACTTAAGTGCGATCATGTGTTTTGAAGCCAAACATGAATTAAATAATTTATATGTAATAATCGATTCATGATATACTGAGTTTGATATATGAATGATAAATAATAATAAAAAAATAATGTGTAACTAATGAAAAACAGATGAAGAATAAAAGTGTCATCAAATGGACAGCATTTCCGACAAATATGATGAATGCCGTCATCGCTACCAATAAGCCAATTGATAGCCACAGGAGACCCAAAAATTTATGCCAATAGTCGACATTATAATCATTGATCTCATAATGATTCTCATTGTAGACGGCATTCAATTTGTGTAAGATTTGTATGCTTAGGATATTTAAAACATTAAAAAAAATATTTTATTAGATTTAGATATATCGCGAATCGTTGATTCAGTGATTTTAGTTTTAATAAATAATTGTATAATAATAGATAGACTSATCAAATACTATATAACATACCATACATAGTGTTGACAGATGCCCACAAAATCCCATAAGTTTGTTAAAATTAATCTGTATATTATTTTAATAAAAATTAAAAAATATATATATATAATTTTGCATTCATTATGTTTTATAAATAACTATTTAATTCAGATCTCATTATTATTTTTATATCTATAATTGTTTGATAATTTTTATTTGTAAAAATAATATGAAATAGCACAAATTATTTAAAGCATATTTTCAAATTTTATTATGATATTTATTTCCATATTCTTATTAATTTAATGATTACAATATAATTATTTTTATTATTATTAAAATAAAATTGGCAAATTTTATATAATTTTTTTATAAATGTTACATATACAGTATATAAGACATATAAAAATAAAATTGACAAAAATATTTTAATTATTTTTTAAAAATTTATAAATAAGTTAATAAATATTAAAATACACACGTATTATTATTATTATTATTATTATTATTATTATTATATTATCATATAACTTATAAATCACAAAATATTTATATTTATAAGTTTGACAATCAATTTTATAATTCAATATACCGATAAACACATATTGAAATAAAAAATACATTTATTGATATTAAGTTATAAATGTTATGTTATAAATAATATTTAGCAAATATATAGATTTTTTATGCAATAGATATTTATTATAAATACTATTTTGTTAATTCATAAAATAAATTTTTGTTTTCAATTAAAACATAGTTTATAAATAAAAAAATTGTCAATATTTTTATAATTATAAATAAATAGTCAATATTTGATATTTTCATCATTCAATGAAACTAACTTTTCGTTTAGCTTTTGGATACATTGTTCAACACTAAGTTCAGACAACTGGCTCTTAATTATCTCGTGATAGTCATCGTTACCATTGTCTCTATCCATGGCCTTAGCATTACTATTATCAATAGTGCTGTTGTTATCAATGCTGACAGTGACTGTGGTCACTGATAGTTTCGGTATAGGCGCCGATTGGTTGTCACCTAAACTACTATCACATTCGCGGTTATTGTTTTCTATAAGGCATGTGTCGGTAGCAATCAATGGTGATATTGTTGTCGCTGTGGTTGTTATAGTTGAGTCAATAGATTTTGTGTCACATTTGGACACTTCATCGACAGCTATGTTTGTTTCTGATAAGTTATTATCGTTGTTATCGTTGTCTATGTTGTCGTAAGTAAATTGTTTCTGATTAGCCGTCGCTATATGTTTGCACTTTCGGTGGACTTCAGGCGAAGACGCAAAATCACTAGAGTTGTCGTTGAACTGATCGTCACAGAGTTCAGTGGAACTACTGCTGGAACTATTGCTCAGGGATTCATTTTTCACAATTTTGACATCAATATAGATATCATCGACACTGTTCTGTTGCGATGACTCCACACTGTCTTCGCATTGGATCTCATCAAATGAGCTGAGAGTTGGTTCCGACAATTTCCTTTGAAATCTGAGTCGCTTCTTGTCGAGCTTGATCTGTGTCCACGAAAGTGTTTCGCCGACACTTCTCTCCTGGTTATCATTTTTGTCGTTATTTTTCTGTTCATTTGTGCTATTTTTGTGCGAATTTACAGTTAATCTGTTACCGGCCATCAAATCGGCCACAGTATTAGATCGGTTGCGCAATCGTTGACGATTTGGCGACTCGTGGTTGGCTCGGGTGGCCGTCTGCAGTACCGGTGACGGCCGTTTCGGACGACGCGCTATCAACGCTGTCTTACCCAACAACAGGTGATTCATAGTCAGCGGCTCTTTCTTAATGAAAGAGTTGGTGTTTGCCTTCTGGAAGCCCTCTTGAAAAAAGACACAAAGAATAATCAATCATTAATTGATGAATCATTTGATAAGTTATAGTCAAATATACCGGTAATGATGACCTGTGCCTGTCGTTGTCTTTCCTTGAGTTTGGCGTATTGTTTCTTCAACAGTGATATATCTAATGTCATTCTTTGTGTATCGATGTTAGTCGACGACAGGAAATTGTTGGCCACGTTTTGGGCACTTGTCGTCACACTATTGGCTGTCAGTGTTGTGTTCAAAGAGGTCTTCTCTGAATGCGGTGATGGCGTACGGCTCGACTGATCTATAAAAATATGTTAGCAATCGGTTTGAATACAAATTATAGTAAAAATTATATTATTTTTAATATTAAATATTTATATTTCAAATTTAATAAAAAAATTGTAATTATTTTTATATTGAATTTATGTTTTTCTAAATTATTAATTTTACGGTATTTTTTATTTAGTTTATAATATAATTTTTTACCGGTAATAGTTTTTATCAATAAATTAAATAATATTTATTAAATATTTAATTATTTTTTCTACATAATAAAAATATAAATATATGACTCAAATGTAAAAAATTCAATAAAATATTATATCATTATTTTTATTTTTATTGTAGTATTATTATATTATTAATAATGTAATATTTATATTTAATAAAAAATAAAAATAATCTATTTTATGTGATCATTAAACTTAATATATAACTATACTCCACCTATAAAATAAACAAAAACATATAACTGTTTAAATAAAATAAACTATAAAATTGTTACAATTCAATTACATAAATACTTATGAAAGTAACTAACAATGCTAACAATGTAAGTAATTATTAAATTAATTAAAAATTGCTATTTATCTTATTTTAATTAATGGTTAACCAAACTATTAAATAATAATTTAATTTATTATTATTTTCAAATCTCATCTGGTTTTTGCTTAAAATATCATTAAATTTAGAGACAATTTTTTTTATAGTAGTTCTGCTATTAATGAGACAGTATTTAAAACAATAAATTATTTTAGAAATAACTTGGAGTCAAATACTAATGTATTTTTTGTATGTTTTCAATAAATTGTGTTAACATAATATTTAATATAAGATAAAATATTTAAGTATTAAGTAAGAACTGTAAAATATTTTATAAAATTACAAAAACATAAAATAATGTAAAAAAATCGGGTCTTCATGTCATTAATTTGTTAGACAAGTATTATAGATAGTAAAGTCTTAGGTATACTGTAATAGACAAACAAAATATTATTGTTTTAATCGAAAAAAATAATACATAAGTAACAAAAAAAATATTTTTAGTATTTTACAAAATTTATGTAAAATAAATTTATATTTTGAAAGTGACGGAAGTAGAGAATATAAATAAATCCAATAAAAAATATATTTTTAGTATTAAACGATCAATAAATTCAATAATCAAATTTGTCGCACAGAAAAAAATCATATTATAGGCAATCAATACATTAATATATCAAATGTAGAAACGAGAATATTCTGTACACGAATTACACAAAATATATTTTGGTAGTAAAGCTTACCCTTAATTTTATTAGCAGAAAAAGCGTTGTTAATACACCAGTTGGCTAACATCATCTGATCGTCATCCAGGTCTCCATCGTCTTCATCGTCACTATTGAATAGATGGAGACCTTTTTTGATCTTCGAGAGCGCCACCGATGAGGTCAACGGCTGTATGTTATACATATATTTCTCGCGTAATTCGCATAATTGCGGGAAAGGAAAGGGAGCCATTATACATATGGTCTACAAATATATAGATTGAAAAAACAAATTATATGCAGTTTTAAAAAAAATTAATTAAATAATTATCTTTGCTTTTAGTGTTAATGAGTATATATACACTAAATATAGATATCAATTAATTAATCAATTAACATTGTAATGTATACTATTTTAATGTAAAAACTTAGTTTTATTTTTTAAATAAAATTTATAAAAATATATTACCATATATATATATATATATATTTTGAGGCGATAATTAATATATATACAAACATTTTATATAAAATGTACAAAATACAAAATAAATTTTTAATTAATATGTTTGAACTTATAATTAATATCATTTAAAATGCAGTATAATAGTAATAGTAATAGTAATAGTAATAGTAATAGTAATAGTAATAGTAATAGTAATAGTAATAGTAATAGTAATAGTAATAGTAATAGTAATAGTAATAGTAATAGTAATAGTTATAGTTATAGTTATAGTTATAGTTATAGTTATAGTAATAGTAATAGTAATAGTAATAGTAATAGTAATAGTAATAGTAATAGTTATAGTTATAGTTATAGTTATAGTTATAGTAATAGTAATAGTAATAGTAATAGTAATAGTAATAGTAATAGTAATAGTTATAGTTATAGTTATAGTTATAGTAATAGTAATAGTAATAGTAATAGTAATAGTAATAGTAATAGTAATAGTAATAGTAATAGTAATAGTAATAGTAATAGTAATAGTAATAGTAATAGTAATAGTAATAGTAATAGTTATAGTTAGTTATAGTAATAGTAATAGTTATAGTTATAGTTATAGTTATAGTTATAGTTATAGTAATAGTAATAGTAATAGTAATTATTAAATGATATTAATTATAAGTTCAAACATAACATGATATTAATTATAAGTTCAAACATAACATGATATTAATTAAAAATTTATTTCGTGTGTTATTTTATATAAAATATTTGTATATATATTAATCCATTTATCAGTATTTATTTAATTAAGTATTTATATGTTTATTGCCTCCAAACGCCTAGGTCTAATATACAGTATATATATTATTATAATTACTGTCAGTATATATAATTTTTGTAGAAATAAAATTCTTGTAAATGTAATAATACAAACTGTAGATATAACTATTAATTTGTATTTTTAATTATATAAATTGCATTTGAAAAAAAGCTTTTACAATAATTTGCGAGACATTACTTATAGTAATTAATTTTAATTTTTGTTTATAAAAATTACTGCTAATTATAGACGTATATTAAACATTAGTATTTCAAACATGATTTAGACACACAAACACTTATGACAATATAAAATTCTGTACTAAAGTTTAATTAATAATTTAAATAATCGTTATTTTCTATTTTGAATTCATTGTTAATTTTTTTATCATACCTTAACTAATTCATTGGTATCGGTAACACCAAACTCCATCATCTCTCTGGTCAGTACACCCATTATGCTGTAAAATTCATCGGCACTGCTCACAGTCAATATGCGGCTATAAAAAAACAAAACAAAAATAAATTAACCAAAAAACACATCAAATTTAGGAAAACATTATTTACAATTAAGAGACAAAATAATATTTGTGTTGAGGTAATGATAAACAATAATAAAAAACCAATATATAGAGTRTATACTATGTTTTATTTGATGCCTAAAGTCAATAAAGGTATTTTGGGGACTAATTTTGTTGTAATATAGTGTATAATAATAATAATAAAAAACAACCTAAAGAAAATTGGATTTTAATTTTACTGAAATATTTTGATATATTTTTGTACTACTTAAACAAATACTAGAAAAATATATTAAACACATGAGAACAGGTAGATATAGTAATATTATATATATATATATATATATATATATATATATATGTTATAACATACTCAGCCAAACAGTCCCATATAGCCAGTGCTGCTCTAAGTAATACTTCGTTTCCTTCAAGAAATATTAGATCCCATATCCTCAAGACAGACGATTGTGGCAAACAATTGGTAAATAGTGTTAGAAACCATTGCATTGTAAACACGTTGATGAGAGGCGGTTCATAGCTGGCACCGGTAGACTGGTCCTGACCCACGTACTGTAATTTATCCAAATGTTTGGCCAGTGTCGACAGTCTCAGACGCAATAGATCCCGAAAGACGGCCATATCGACCGATAGGCCGCGCAAATTGTTTGCAAAATAGCTTTCGGGCAAAACTCCTTCAATCAAGTATATCATCACCTAATGGATCGATAAKATWTTAATGATATTAATAACATAATAAATAAGTGTTTTTATTAATACAAAATTACAACTACTATACTGTTGGTGACCTTTAAATTTATAACATTATATAACTATGATATATACAATATTGATATATATCTATTTTTTCTATTTATTTTGACAACTTTTATCACGATTTACAGTAAATGGTTTATCAAATATTAAAACTTATATACAGATCTAAACTGTATTTAAACACTTTCATCAAAAATATTACATTTGACTGTTTGTTTAGTCATTTAACGGAGTAAAAGCAAATATTATACATAATTGCATGTAATAGTGTTTACTTTTTATAGTTCACTAAATACTAAATTTAATTTAATTGAAGATTACTTAAAATACACAAAAAAAACTTCTTTTAAAATATTTATATTTTAATAATATTATTTTTTATAATTATAAAAGTAACTAAAAAATTTAATCAATTAGCTTAATTACTACAAATGTTCAATTTTTTTAGGAATATAATAACTATTTATTATCATATAATTAATATGTGCACTAAATATTGGATATAATATACTTTGTAATGTATTGTTATATTAAATTATTAAGTTGTAAATATTTTATGAATATGAAACTCATAGAATATTGTGTGAATTTAATAAAAATTTATGTAAAAATTTTTTCCCATATATTTCTCTATAAAAAAATTGTCTTTAATTCATAATATTATATTACTTCATGTTTTGAATAACAGAATATTCTGATATTTACTGTATAACGTTATGTACATTTAGTATATATATAAATTTACATATAAAGTATATACAGTACACATTTTTGTTTTAAATTTTTGTTTTAATAAGATTTATTAGAGTATACAGCAATAAGTTTATAGTAATATTTAAACTAATAATAATAATAATAATATATGAACAGTAATTATAATTTGCATAAAATGTTAAAAGCGTTTAATTTTTCTAAAATAAATATTTATAGTTCACAAACAATTGTTAACATAAATTATATTAAATCACTGAAATATAAATTAGATGTTAAGTAAAGCAGTAAAATAATATGCATAAAATATACTATAATTTAATAAGCAAATAAAAAATTTATGAATTATACAGTATAAGCCTAAAGTACTGTATACTATACTATACTATAGTGTAAAGTTTARTAATTTAAAAATGGAAATTTAAAATTAGTTTTACTACTCTATCWAAGTAATATAAATTTGAATGTCAATAAAAATCAATTTAACGAAAAATCAGAATAAATCAAATATTTATAAATAGACATATTTTTTAAATGTTTGTAATAAAAAATATCATATTTTATTACCTGRAGATGCAAAAATATATGATAGTATTTTATACAGTCATATACCTGTATATCATATACACTATATATATATTATATTATATGGAAAATTCATTTATTATAAATATATATATTATATATTAATCTTTATTTTTATTAAGAAAGTGAATGATAAAAGAAAAGTACGGAAAATGTTTGCTACAAACGGATCGATTAAACAAACAAATCAAAAAACATTATTAATAATAAATTCAATGCAAATATAAAACACATATTGTATGCTATTTTTTAGCAAAGTTATAGTCATTATTGTTAGACTGACTGTGATTTTTATTGGTATCCGGTGTTTGTTTTATTTTCAATACATTTCTAACAAAAATATTAATCTGTTATATACTGTATAATATTTATAACACTTTAGCAAATGATGAGAGAGAGAGAGAGAGAGAGAGAGAGAGAGAGAGAGAGAGAGAGAGAGAGAGAGAGAGTCATTACCTTAAGTGAGTCGTCGACGTCGCCCTCCATTACCTTCAATATAATAGCGGCCAACATATTAAAGCCCTGACAATAACCAACAGCTGTCCGTCCATTAGTAGTGCAGTTAGTTTTGCGGATGAAATCAATAATAGAAGATAATGTCAAACGTATGGTTAGTTCATTAGTACATCACTTATTTATTATGATTATTATTGTATTATTAATATGGGACTCATGAAAATCATTGTATTTAACGATATGTTTGATTAATATAATAAAAGCTAAAAGTTTATGTCAATCAATGAAATGAAGTTAAAGTGTTTGCTCATTAAATTAGAGACAAATCACTAATTGATTCAAATATATTATTAATTAATAGGATTAAAAACTTATATATTGATAAATTTATAATATTATATGCAAAAATAAAAGACTATATATAAATTATTTAAATAATTTATTTATACACTACTAGAAAATGTATATACAKTACTCAAATTGAATTATTTATAAATTAGTTTGAAAATTACTTTTTAAAAACTAAATAAAAATTAAATTAATCAATATTTTTATCTAAAACACTTAATCTTTTAGTACAAGTAAATGTCTAGAAATTTTGCATAATTATTTTTGAAAAAAATAACTAATTAACATAAATTAACTAAAATTCATTTTTTATTTGAAAGTTACAAAAAAAACAAAACAAAACTAAATCTAAACACTTGTTGATTAATAATTTTGTTATTATTATTGTGAATATACTAATAGCTACTATTATTTTTTATTTCAATAACACTATAATTCAATAAAAAAAATGTCAGTAATAACTAATTGCAAGTTTCTAAATTTAGTTAGTTTTTTGTTTTTGCAATTTAATACTATTATTATTTTTTTAGTTGAAGTAAACAACCTAATAATGTATAACCTTACAATTGTGTACATGTAGTATAGAGTATTTTTTTTAAAAAACTAAAAATAACCATGATAAATTACATTTATTCCAACGGGCATAAGCCAGTAATACTTGTTTGAGGAGCGCCTGGTTCTGGGCTTCTTCACCACTAAATAGACTACAACCCGTRCGATGCAAATCCTTTAATACAATTAATTAGTAAAATATARTAAAATTAAATAAATATTTCAATAAAATAATTATAAAAATAAATTTATAAAAAATAAAAATATCTAATTTTTAMATTTATAGAATGTTAGTATTTTTTAAAAAAACTAMATTATTTTCWRATATTTAATCACAAACTCATTAGTATTAATKAAATTGATATGAATTATGTTATATTATAGCAAACCTTAACAATTTGTACGCCAAGTGTCTCGTCGTCCGGATTTTCTTTTTCGTTGAAACAAAATCTCGAAGTAATCGACCAATTGATTTGTCGGGTCTGTATATGACGGGCCGCTAATGTGATCCACAACTATATAATATAACATCAATTTATATCAAAATTTTGAAAAAATTATTGAAATAAAAATCACTTAAGAGATAGTAAAATAAATTTTGCAGTTAAAACTCAAAAAAAAGTACTGTCAAATAAATTAGATTRACTATTAAATAGTAAAGTATATACAGGATWTAAAATATTTATATATATATATATATATATATATACTACTATTTTGTGTCAATACAATTTTTTWAAAAAGCCGCTAATGTATTTTACAATAAAATTAATATTTATTGTTTAATAAAAATTKAATATATTTTTTGGAAAATTATTATTATTWTAAAYATGATAAAAACTTTATATTCCACTTTYTATATATAATTTATATATATTTGATATATTAATAAATATTTATATACTATATACCTATACAGTATTTTTATTTTATAATAAGCATTTATATTATTGTATAATAACACTACAATATATTAATCGCACAAAATATAAAATTTTAAAAGATTTGTAAAAAATATTTTTGTCTWTATTGAAGTCCAGTTTTTTTTTGGATTAATGCTCAATAAGTGTTTTTATATAATTTTCCATTTTATAAGAAAAGATATTATTAATAAAGATCAAAATTTAATGTATTTTTGCTATGTATTATAGATTAAACATTATAAATATTTCTGAAAATAATAATTGATGTTAGTTTTATTTTAAAAAAGGTTTATTTTTAGTGAGAAATATCGATATAAGTTATAATATTATATATATATATATATATATATCTAAAYATACATCTATATTGCATTAGGACATATAATCATATAATTTATAATATTATAAATGTACATAGATTAGATTTTTAAAATTTAGAGTACTACCTGTATGTTTTTATATATATATATATATATATATACCTAGATTTATAAATACAGTATAATTTATATTAAATTATTTACTACCGATAATAATAAATTCCATTTTGTCTGAATTAAATATTTTTAATATATTAATATATTATTTKATCAAAATTATATAATTCTGTGCTATTTATAGTAAAGTAATTGAATTTTAAATAACTTAAAATAATTTAACATTGAAAATATTATAATAATACAAATACTAAATATTAATCATTTATTTCAAATTGTTTTATATAATATAGAGTATATATTGTAATATACTGAACATTGATTAAATAAATTAATAAAGATTTATCTTAAATTAAGCATTATTATAATTTTATTTAAGTATTATTAAGTAAAATTAAATTTATAAACTTATAAGTTATTTTAGTCATAAATATATTTACAAAAATTATATTCAAAATGGCTATAATTGAATTATATAATTAATTTATACTAATAAATATGTTTATAATATTATTTTATTTGATAATGTTGTCAAGGTTAATAAATAGTTATTAAAATGTACTTATACTATATATAAAAATGTATATTAGTACTATTTATAAATTGKTTAACTTTTTATAGTACAGTATAAACAGAATCATATTGTTTATTTAATATAGTTATCAAATATATTAACTATAAATATTAATATATAAAATTAGATTCCTTTATCTTAATGTTTTTGTACTTTTTTCAAATTATTATTAAAACTATAAAACTATGTTTTTTTAAAAATAAGTCAAATATAATATTTGAAATTAAAACTGACTCAATTCAATAATAATAATTAAAGTTTAACAAACAAATACAATTATGGATTTAATATCATTAATATTAATATTATTTATAACACTTTTACCATTGATATATTTGTGAGTTTTATTTATTATACTAATTAAATTAATCAATGTCAATTATGGAATTTTAATTAATTAATTAATAATATGCTAAATCTTGTTATAGATATACGACAAGAAACTATAGTTATTGGTCTAAGCGGGGTGTGGTTGGCCCCAAACCGATACCATTTTTCGGTAATCTATTGGACTTTTTTCGGACACCTCAACCCTTACAGGAGATTAATTGGATTCGYAAATATGGCAAAGTTTATGGGTATAAATCACTATAAAACAACTGGTTTTTTTAAATAAAAAATTTAATTAATAAATAAATATTTATTTTCATAGCTATTATATGCGTAATGATCCCGTATTGACAATCAGTGACCCGCAGCTCATCAAACAAATACTGGTCAAAGATTTTCATTTGTTTACCGATAGACGAAACATAAGATCCAAACATCCGATAATCAGTAATAATTTGGTCGAAGCTWCCGGTGATCAATGGAAACGGATCCGATCGATAGCCAGTCCGACGTTTACATCGGGAAAGATGAAGAAAATGTATCCTTTGATCAGACAATGTGTCAATGAATTTGTTAAACATTTGGACAGTTATGCTATTAGTAAAAAGTGTTTGAATGTCAAAGATATTTATGGCAATCTGACAATGGATGTGATAGCCATCTGTGCTTTTGCCACAAAGACTAATTCGCTMAAAGAGTTGGACAGTCCGTTCGTACGAAATGCTCGTAAAGTGTTTAACTTAGATATCAAATCTGTAGTGCTTTTTATGGTTATACCGACAAAGGTTTTCCAGTGGTGGCGACGGTTTAAAAATCGTAACGAACATCGAGGCACTGAGTTTTTCATTGAGTCTACTCGTAAACTAATTGCCGATCGGCAAAAAACTGGCCAAAAGTATAACGATTTTCTCCAATTGCTTATCGATGTGGAAAGGGATGACAATAKTAGTGRTAGTAAACATGTTAGAGACGATAGCGATGTCAATGAAGCACATCATGTAAATGAAGGTTAATAATAGCTAACAATGGGATCTATTATCAAATATTTGTATATATTGTTAAYTTATTTATATTGTTTGAATGTCTTAGGCGATGAGGAATTGGATGTCGAAAGAAAGGCATTGAATATAGTGCTGGATAACAAACATTTGACCGAAAATGAGATACTGGCGCAGGCGTTGATTTTTTTCTGGCCGGTTATGAAACCACTGCCTCGACATTRACATTCTGTACGTATGAATTGGCAGTCAATCCCAATATTCAAGAAAAACTTTATGAAGAGATCAACTCTGCTGTCGATTCRGATGGAGAGATCAGTTACGATGAACTGTCACGACTGCCATACTTGGATGCCGTCCTCTCAGAAACACTTAGAAGGCATTCAGTGGCTCAACGTTTAGCTCGACTACCGTCTGTTGACTACAAATTAGGTGACACCGGTATAACCCTCTATAAGGGACAGCAAATAGAAATCCCAGTTCAAGCTATCCATCACTTGGAGGAGTTCTATCCCAATGCACACCAATTCAATCCGGAAAGATTTATGCCCGAMAATCGCCATAAAATCAAATCCTATACATACTTACCGTTTGGTGCCGGTCCTCGCAATTGTATTGGTATGCGATTTGCATTACTCGAGGCTAARCTGGCTTTGGTTCATATTATTAGAAAATACCGATTTGTGAGGACACCCGAAACGGATGTTCCGCTTCAATATAGAAAAGCGTTTCGTTTAGCATCACCTAAACGTGTGTTAGTTGGCATTGAAAAGAGACAATAACCCAAACATATTGCACACACACACACACACACACACACAYACACACACACACACACATACATAACAATTTATAATTACAATAATAATTCAAWCAATTGGTTAATTGTAATGTGTTCATAAAATAGAAATATTTTGCAACTAATTWTTACAATTAATAAAATATACGTAAAGATTATAAGTCAAATTAACTATTAGTATTTCATCATAAATTATAATTATTGATGTATATAATAAATATTCATTAATTTTAATGATCGCATTTAATTAGAAAAAATTGTTTTTAATGTAATTAGTTGACTGTTTATAATTAATTTGCATAGTTTATCAAAATTAATACTTTCAAAAAGTATTGTACTTTATAAGTAATGAAACTTATAAAAATATTTTTATCATATGCTAACAACAATATTGTATCATAATTAGTAAAAAAAGTGATTTAAAATTTTTGCGATAATTGAGAAATGACAACAAKTTTATACATAATAACCGGTAGCTATGCGTTAATAAACAGAYAGTATTTTTTCAGTTAATAAGAAATTAAGTTTCGATTTTTGCTTAATAATGATTAATGATTAGCAATAAAATCTTGTAATCATATAATTATAATTAGAGATTATTATTATACTTTGAATTAGAAATTTATTCAATTAGTCATATTTTGTAATACATATATGATAATAATGAATCAGAGGATTACAATTAATTATAATTATAATAATAAAAATCTATACAATTATCTGTTTAATTCATTAAAGAKATYCGATATCTTACAATAATTGTAAATATAATGTAACAAAAAATATGTAAATATATATATGAAATTTGATATTAATTAATTATATGTCTAATATTTCTTAAAGTTTTTTTTCAAAATGATATATAATTAGATTTGTGTAAATAGGCGATCAAAAATTAATTAYAATTATTTACAAGTAGGCGTATCAATAAACGTGGGCAACTTTTTGAATATACTGAATACTATACAATACTATAATATAAAATACTGTACAATAATCTACTAATTATGAAATATACAATATATTATATGCTTATTGATTATAGTAATGAACAAAAATAAACCACACAATTGTCTGATTTTTTTTATTTGTCAAAAGAATTATATATCAAATAATTTCTTAGAAAGTSGACAATGAAAATATAKTTTCCAAATAAATCGTTTCTAACTAACTATTTCCAGAGATTTCAGTAAAAAAATAAACAAAAMACCAATTCTAGAATATTATAAACATTTACACAATATATATATTATTTATAATAATAATACAAACAATTTCAAGAATATTCCTATGAAAACAATGGGTATTGAATGTACTGATTGTGTGTTTTTTGCTAATAATAGACACATTCACAATAAATAGTGTAATACATTACCTATTGTGCAATTTATATACATATAATAAATAATAATAATTTACAAATAACAATAGGTATGACTAAAATTTACAATACA